TTCTCAGGCTCGTGCCCCGAAGACGCCTCGCGCCCGGCGGGGCCCCGCAGAGGGGCGGGGTGGACCCGCGAGGCCCTTCCCGCGGTGGACGTCCGCCCCGCCGCAGGGCTGCGGCTGTCCGGCCAGGCCGGGCGGAGGGCCGCTCACGAGCAAGGAAACTTCCATTCGGGTCAATCGAAGGAGAACATTTAAGAATCAGGCGGCAGGCACTTTCTTTTTTTAATCAGTGCTGAAATTCATCACATATCTTTTAATAGACTCGCTCTCTAGACCGGTTTTAGGTTCGCAGCGGAATGGAGGGGAAGGTACAGAGACGCGCCGCGTGCCCGCTGCCCGGCACGTGCACAGCCCCCCACTGACGACACCCCCCAGCCGACGGGACACGTGACGCAGCAATGAGCCCACACGAACACGTCAGCACCCTGACAGTCCACAGTGTGCATGAGGGGCCACGCCTGGGGCCGGACAGCCTGCGGGCTTGGACAAGCTTAGAATGACATGTGGCCACGTCGTAGCATCGGATGGAGCAGTCTCGCTCCCTAAACTTCCTCCGGCCACCACTGCGCTTTTCACCGTTGCCGTGGCGTGGCCTTTCCCAGACCGTCCCGTCGGCGGACGCACAGGATGCAGCCTTTCAGGTTGTCACCTGCCACTCGGCACTCGGTGCCCCAGGCACCCCCGTCGCTTGGCACGGCTTGCCGGCTCGCGCCTGTTTAGCGCACGGTAGCGTCCCACCGTCGGCTGGACCGCAGCGTATCCACCCATCCCCTGCTGAAGGGCGTCTGGTTGCTCCAAGTGGCGGCGATGGCGAAGGAAGCTGCCGTGTACGTCCACGCGCAGGTTTTTATGTGCACAGAGAGTTTTCAACTTATTTTGGTAAATACCAAGGAGCATGCCCGCTGCGCCCTGTGGCGAGAGGATGTTCGGTTTTGTGACAACCTGCCAGCCCGCCCCCCACGGCAGCCGCTCCGTGTCCCGTGCGTGCGGCAGCGGGTGGGGCTCCCGCCGCTCCACGCCCTCCTGTGAGCTTCTCTGTTTCTGGCTTGTGATTTTTCTCTCATTTTTGAAAAGCTATGCTCACATCCTTCTTTAAAAAGAGACGGTCGGCTTCTCAGAGGCAACCCCTCATCCTGTGGGGCCCCGTCCGCTGGCGGCAGGGAGACGTGCTCCGGCCGGGGCGGCCCCGGCCGACGCACCGCCCGCCCAACTTTCCCGACGGCCCTGCGGTGCTCGCGGAAGGCACTCGGCTGCAGACACGCGGCGCGTAAGCAGGGGCTGTCTCGTGGGCGGGAAGACAGTTTCCTCGGAATCTTCAACCCTTGATTTCCTCGTGTGTATGTTCTCGCCACCAGAATGTCCCAGCCACTGCGCTGGGTCCAAGGACTGGGCTTGTGAGCAAAACACAGTCACCGCTCTCAGGGAGCTTATCCTCCATGTGGGGGACCGACCACAACCAAGGCCCTCACAGGTAGATGCCTGCCGCCATGAGGACACTGTCCCTGTGGCCCTGCCCTCGGAAGGGCAGCGGGTGCAGCTGGTCAGGAAGAACAAGGGGACTGGGGGGCGTGAGCACCCAAAGAGCCGTGCAGAGGCGTGCGCCGCGGTTCTGTGTCGTGTGTGCCCTCAGGGTCAAGTGCGTCCCAACGGGTCGGCCTGGGGGGCGGGGGACTGTGAGCGGATTCCAGAACGGCCCCTCCCCCAGCTCAGGGCCCCCGCCTCTCAGGAGGGCCACCGCCTGCCCACACGGGGGCCCCGCCGGACCATCAGGTCCTCGCTGTGCCCCTGCCTGTTTCCTCCTTCTGGGTCCTGCACGGAAGAGGTGCCCCCTGATCACCTGCGCTGTCCCTTCCTCCGAGGAGCCTCACCTGCCCTCCCTGAGCAGGTCCAACACCTGGAGTGTGTGCTGCCCTGGATGTGGCTCCTCCCCTGTGGCTCTTGTCACCGTTGCAGATTTCCATTCGTTCCTGAGATGATCCCGCAAACGCCCGTTGAGGCGGGGCTCTTAGTGGGACAGAAAGCACTAAGCCGGCCGGCCCTGCGTCTGGCTGCACCACCACCACCGCGAGCCCAGGCCCGGCTCAGGCCAGGCCCACACGGGAGCCAGCGCACGTGGTGAGGGAGCGAATGAAGAGCCCACCTGCCCCCACGTCCTCAGGACTGTGGGAAGCAGACACCGGCAGGTTTCATTGGGGGTGGGGATCTGGTAATGCCCCCCAGGACACCAACTTGAAGCCGCACTGAGGTCTGAAGGTGGGGGGGCGGAGGCGACGGCTTTCCAGGCAGAGGGAACAGAGTGTGCAAGGTGGGAAGGTGCTCCGCAGCCCCGTAGGGCTGAGAGGGCGCAGCCCACGCAGCAGAGGCGGAGGGCAGAGGGCCGCGTCTGGGGAAGCGGGGGAGCCAACCGCCTAGGAGCTCCTCTACACTCATTCCACAGATACTCATGGGGAACCTGCTACACGCCCGGCACTGTGCTGGGCCTTACAGGTCCTGTTGCGATGGCGGCCTCGATCCTGGAGGCGGTGGGAAGCCCCAAGGAGCTTTAGAGGAAGCCCAGCCACCGCTGAGCTGACCGCCCAGCTGCCAGGGCCACTGCGAGCCCGAGCAGACAACTGTGGAGCTTTGCAGCCTAGAGTCAGCAGGAACAGCTGCTGACTGGATGTGGGGCAGGACAGAGACCTCAACGGCGGCCCTGGCATCAGGCCTGAGCCGCTGGAAGTGCCACTCGCATAGCTGGGCTGGGAAGCGGCGCGAGCGGGGAGCAGAGCGCACGTGTGCACAGAGACCGGGGCGTTCAACCCCGGGCGGCTCGAAGGGGCCGGGGCCGGGGCCGGGGCCAGGCAGACGTAAGTGGAGCAGGGCTTCTCTGCTCATTGACACCCCCTGTCCCACTGCTGCCTGGTGGCAACCAGCGCCTGCTTTACGAGAACCCCGCGCTCGGAGGGGTTCCAAAATAAAACCGCCAAACCCAGCTGATTATGAGGGTAATTTCCGTGAAAATGAGACAGGTTAGGTGTTCAACACGGTATCGCTCTATTGTTTTCTTAATGGCCAGCAGTGTACCGGTTCCCTTACAAACAGGTCTCCTGCCGGTCCACAGGTGGCACCTCCCTTCCGTGTCCGCCATGGGAGGCACCGCGGGGAAAGCCGGGGCCGGGGAGGGGAGAGGCTGTCACGGCCGGGAGGGGGCTTCGTGTGTGTGCGTGCATGCGTGTGTCCACACAAAGCCTGCATGGGTCCTCACACGCTGCCAAGAGCAGCCCCACGTGCCATCTAATGGAAGGACCGTCTGCACAGCAGAAACACAGGCTGATCCTTAAGTACTCTCACTTTTTATGCACTAAAAAGAGGCATCAGCTGTATTTCCAGGCTTGGAGGGAGTCCCTCCCTACGAGCAGAGAACATTAATGCCTTCAGAAGAGACTATGAATCACGCCTCCGCTGCGGAACAAAGCGCAGAGGGACCCCCAAGCGGTACATGAGGCCACGGAGCAACATAGTTCACTTTCCAACCTTTACAGTTTTAACTGGAAAACCTAATGCTTCTGACAAAACTGCCTGATTTAAGTGTCCTCACCTGCAAAGAAAGGCATAAAAAAGGAAGCACCGCGCTCATTGATTTGCAAAGCACGCGGCTGGTTCCTGGAGAAGCAGCCAGCCCGTCTGTGGTCACAGGGAGGGGGGTGTCCTTCAGCCCACAAGGGCTCTGCAGCCCACCCTGCCCTTTTCTGAGGCACGTCCTAGAGCCCAGGAGCCGGCGGCCTGCGGTGTCTCAGGGTGAAGCAGGATTGCACCTTTGTGAAAGTCTCAGATACCGAGAAGCAGCCACATCCCTGGTCTGGCAGGAGGCAGCACCTGGCCAGGGGCTCTGGAAAGGCGGCCGGGCGGCCCCCCATGACCTGCTCCCACGGAGACAGAGCAGACATGCAGAGTGATGCAGGGTGAAGGGGCTGGCCCCCCGACCACCCCCCCCCTCCATCCTGTAAGAAATAACATAAACAGAGCCTCTTTCAACACGGAGAAACTGCCTCGCAGGCCTTATGTCTCAAGCCTTTGGGGATGTCGAAACAGGGCAAAATAACCTTTGGACTGGGCCCAAGCACATGTTCCAAAGAACTGTTTGCAAAGATAACGAGGAAGCAGATACGTTGACGACGGAGCTGGTGACTGGGGGACTGGGAATTTAAAGCGCTGTTTGGAATGTGCGTCCCTGTGTCAGCTTATCTGCACCTGCAGGCTTGTCTTCCTTCTGCCGATGTCATTGTTGCCCTTCCCTTCCGCCTTTGTTGCCAATACCAACACTCTTTGAATCAGCGCTTCCCAAAGAGCCATTCTTTGATCTCAAAGAAACGCTGGTTGTCTCTCACTTTGAAAGGTCTTTTATTTTTAAGGGAACACCAGGAAGAAAGTGGCCGTTGCTAGGGGAGGGGGCCAGATACAGGAAGGAGCCGCTGTGGTCCTCTCCCGCAAGGTCAAAGAAAAGGCTGGGTTCACTCGTGCGGCCACCTCGCTGCCCCGGGCCAGGTCGCACCAACGCGCCCTGCACGGCCCGCTGAACCTCGCCTGCCCGCGGGGCCCGGGGCGATGAGCCCCTCTGGGCAAGGTCCACCAGCAAGAGATGCAGGACCTCCCGGACACGCCGGACTCTCCGTCCCCGCTACAAGGGAAGGCAGCTTCGGCCCGGCGTCGGGGCCCCGGGGTTCCAGCACTGCTCACGGCGCTACGAAGAAGAGGCCTGGCAGCGCTCCGCGGTCAATGCCCGCTCTCCTCCAGACACGCGCCCGGGGGACTTCAAGGGAGCTGCCCGTCCCAGAGATGGCTGCCGCCCCTCTTAAACGTGGCGGCCCCACAGGCAGCTACAGAAGTGCCCCTTACAAACATGGCCGCCACAGCCCGCTACGTACGGCGCCCGCTTTGTTGGGTCACCTGCCCGAAGCCTCCGGGCTGTGATTGGCCACACCTCTGGTGACGTCAGACGCCACTGCGCGGGCCAAGAGCCTGAGGGTTGCCGCGGCGCTGGGAAGCGTTAGGACTGAGCGAGGAGGCCTGGCGGTGTTGCTGGGGGCGGTGGTGCGCCTCTCACACTCATGAGGAGCCGGAAGGTGAGGGGGCCGTGGCCGGAGCCGGGCGGGAGCAGGGTCGGGGGAGGCGGGGGCTCCGGCCGCCGGTTGCCCGGGAAGCTGAGGGACGCCTCGAGCCGCGGGACGACCTCTGCCTGCGCCCGGTCCCGGTGAGCTCTCGGGTCACGCCCCTTGGAGGGGGACTCCCAGGCCACGCCCACGGCTGGGGGCTTCAGACCCCGCCCTCTGTCACGGGGCTGTCAGGCCGATTCCCAGGATGGGGCTCCCTCTCCGGAACTGGTCTGGACTCCAGGCTTTTTTCTTTTTTGGCTCTGCTAGGCCACGGGGCATGTTATTCTGTTTCCGCCGCGCAAGCCCGGTTACCCCCTGTGCACAGTGGGGGGAAGTGGCATCCACCCCAGAGAGGGGTGAGAATAAAGGGGCACCAGTTCCTGGCACCTGGTTATCGGCGCGCGGTGTAGCCCAAGGCAAGGGGCTGGGACCCAGGCTCCCGCAGCCGTGCCTGGCTGACCCCGAAGTACCCCGCGAGGACAGCGCGCAGCTGGGCCCGGCGTGTGGCGGCCGCCTCCCGCCGGCAGCCCTGCCCCTTGGCTCGGCCGGCGCACCCAGGTTGGCGCTACGGGCACGGCCGGAGGCGCGTTTGCCATTTTACTTGTGTACCCGCTGCACTCTCTGCTCGTTAGGGTCCTCGTGAAAGGGGGTTAACGCGAATGTGTTCTGATGTAGCGGTGCCGTCTGCGGACGCTTTTCACCAGTTTACAAAATCCCTTTCCCGTCCTCGCTCTCGCTCTCGGCTGAACCCCTTCGCCATAAAGGCAGGAAGACTGAGCGTCAGATGCGTCCCCGCGTAATTCCACAGGTTCGCGAGTGAGGGCGCTGTGTTGCTCTGGCTTCTTCCCTGCCGCCTGAGTGTGTCTTAGTAAATGTTACGTTGGTGCTACGTGCCCAGCGAGGACGCTGTCGGGGGGCGTCCTCACCTGCAGCGCTTTGCATCGGCCGGCGCCGCCGTGCGGCCGTCGCGGCTGCGGCGCGTGTTCGCAGGCGCTGCGTCCGTGTTGCTGTGTCCTTGTCGTGTGTGATTGCTCGTCAAGGCATTGCTCTGCATTCGGACCGTCTTCTGCGAGGACACAGTTGTGAGCCCCGGCGCTGGCTTTTCCCCTTCGGATTCGGGTTGCCACCAGGGATCGCTTGATGTCGCCGGAGACCTTCCGTTATACTTCCTGTAAGATGGTTCTGCTGCCACACGTTCTCTCGGTGGATTTCCCCGGAGTGTCTGTTTTGCCTTCATTTATGAAGGGTGGGTTTGTTGGATCCTAGGACTCTGGGTTGCCAGTTTGTGTGTGAGCTTTGACTATATTTGAATACACCCACTGCGGTCCTGCCTCCGCTGTTTCTGCTGATAAGTCAGCCGCTTGCTTATTGGGCTTCCCTGGTAAGTCACGAGTCTTTTTCCTCTTTCTGCTTTTTGCCTTTTCTCCTCGTGTTTGCCTCTCAGCATGTTCGCAGTGATGCGTCGGTGGGTGTCTGCGTTTCCCCGCTTGGAATGCAGCTCCTTGCGGCCCCTGGGCGCGGAGGCGGTGTTCCTTAGGAAACGAGGGTTTCTCCCGTTCTCTCCCGACCGCCTCGCCGCTCCTCTGCGCCCGTTCCTCCCGGTGTCGCCACTGCGCGTGCGGCGGCTCCCTTAGCGGCGCCCAGCGTCCTCCGCGGCTCCGTGTTCCCTCGGTCCCTCCCCGCTCTGCCTGGCGGCGCCATCAGCCTGCTTCAGGCTCGCGGATCCGCACCGCTCCGTTCCTACTGCTGAGCCCTCTGCTGGATGTTTGGTTTTAGTCATACTTCTCAACTATGGAACTTATATTTGGTTTGTTTAATAACTGTATTTTTATTGATATTTTCTAATGGATGCGACATCATCATCAAATCCTGCTTTTTAATCCTGCTTTCTGTTACCTCTTTTTGGCACGTGTACAGGGGCACCTGAACCCTTCCTGAGAAACCGAGGGCCCGGCCACCCCACAGGCAGTGCTGTCTGCCCTCCTGCCCCCCCCTCCATGCTTCATAGTTTTGGTTGAAACTGGACATTTTAGATAATACATTGTAGCAACTCTGGGTACCCATGCCGGGCCCGCAGGGCTTGTTGTTGTTAATATGCTGTTTGTTTGTTTAGTGACTTAGTGGGCTATTCTATCAGGGTCTGTTCCCCTCACCATCACCGCAGGACAGTGCCGCGTCTGCCCACACTTGCCCTGGGATGACAGTGACTTCAGGGGGCTCTCTGTCCCGCTCTAACCGCCCAGCCGGGAACTCCGTTCATTGGCAGCTGATTGCCAGTTGTTTCCAACTGTGGCCCCAGGCATAATAAACTGTATGTCCGTCACATTCCCAGCTTCTCGGTAAGAATGGCCTCCAGGGTCAGCTGTCTGCTTCTGCTGCTGCTCTGGCCCGAGAGCTGCTCCCGCTGTGCCCTCCCGTCCTCTCCCAGGACAGACCCAGCTGCCTCTCCCCCCCACGCTCCCCGCCGAGGGAGTCGGCTCCTCTCGGGAGGAGGTTAAGAGCTCTCTGTTTTGATGCTGCCTGTTCTCCAGGCAAAATCTCTGAGCCAGGGCTCTGTGTAGCTGGGACAGGGACAGACCTCTCTGCATGACCCCCCCCCCCCGCCCCGCAGGAGCTGAGGGCTCAGGAGAGGCGGGCGGTGGCAGCAGCCTGGTGAGCGTCGCGGGCCACAGTGGGGGTGGGTGCGATGCTATTGTCACAAAGTCTCAAGTCGCCTCTTTCCTTTTTGATCTCTTGTGAACATGTGGCCTTCCCTCTGTCCCCGTGACAGTCCGGGGCCCGTCACAAAGAGAGCTTCCAAGCCTGTCCCCTACAGTGTCCCTGTGCTGCTGCCTTTATCACTCCTGCCATCCTTTCCTGTGTGCATGTGGTACCCATTCTGGGACAGAAACAGGAACTCGCGGGGAGAAAAAAGCCGAAACTCCAGCGAAGCCTGCGGCTCAGCTAACAGTGCCGTCCGGCAGCGCCGAGCCGCGGCAGGCGTGCCGCGGATGCTCAGCGCGAGGGGAGCGGAGGGGCACCTCTGCGGGACTCCTCGTGCCTAAATCCTAGCCTTATCCCTAGGTGGCATCATGTTACATTTTGTCACTTTGATTAACTCCTCTCATTATTAGAAGACTCCCCTTTGCATTCAGAGTAACGTGGAGGTGGACCTGTTTCTTGCTGTTAGAGTTTGTCAGGCAGGCATTGGTTACTTTAAATCAATGGAATTAGGATGGACTCTACCTGTAATTTCAGGGAGGAAGTGACAGGGTGGGGGGCGGCTTGTTTATTCATGTTACCTTTTACCTGGAACGCGGATGCCACACACAGAAGTTTGAGAACTTTCTGAGGCAGGCTCTGTGCTGCTTATTCCCAGCCATCACCTTAAAAACGGAGGTTCCCGGAAACCTGCGACAAGGGGCAGGGCGGCGCCGAGCTGCCCGGACAGCGGGGAGAGTAGATCTCGCATCGTAAACCCAGAGCTTTGTTTGAGTTCGCACACTTAGGCCACAGGTGTCCTTTCATGATGACGATAAAAATGTGGGGGGCGGGAGGGACCATCTTCAGGTTCCCTCTAGTTGGGAAGCCCCACCTCCGCACCCAGGCCCTGAGAGCGCGGCGTCTGACGGCCACCGTGCCTCCGGTCTAGCTCACAGCAGGGGTGCGGTCCTCGGCGCGCCTGAGAGCCCGGAGCTGCGCGGCCAGGTTGGCCTCCGCCCAGGAAGCCAGGATCGCCTCGTCTGCCAGGACGGCATGTCAGGTGAGCCTCGTGCACGAAGACGCCAGGGTGTGGGCGCGGGGTCCGCGTCCGTGCCCTGTCCACCCTCGGGTGCGCCGTCGTGGCCCAGAGCGAGGGGCGGGGCTGCCGGAGCCCTCGGGTCCAGGGCTGCGCTTGGGGAGGGTCGCCCGCCTGCAGGCGCGTCTCGGGCCCTGGCTCCTCCAGTGCTGCCCTTTGAGTGTCAGTGGCATAGCGCCCTCCTGTCCAGCCCTGCGGACGCGGGAGCAAGGCCGAGTGGGCTGGAGCGGGGCCCATGTCCCTGGCCTGCAGCGCGGCTGTGGCTGCTGAGCGGCCCTTGTCCCAGAGCCGCATCGGGTCGGCTGGCCTCGGCGAGGCTGGGACCCGGTCCGACGCCAGCAGCCAGCAGAGCCTCGCCCCTGGAGTGCGGCCTGTGACATCCGGCGGGAGTTAGCGTCAAGCTCCGGCCACCACTCTGTCCCTACCTGCACGCGGCTCCTGCGCCACAGAAATGAACAGAAACGGTCCTTTTATGACCAGTTTGTGATCTGACCATGCGTGCTTTTGACTCTGCCTCAGGAAATCGATGCCTCGAGAACACAGCAGGTGTGGGAGGCATGTCGGGGGTTGTCTGGGCCCTTCCCCAGCTGCACCTGGGGTGGCAGGCAGTGGCCCGGCCCTGACCCTACCGCAGAGGCCGGGCTCAGCGCGTCCCAGGTTTCAGGTGTGAGGAACGCGAGCGTCGGGAATCTCGACGGGTCTGCTTCTCCCCGACGTTTTTCTTCCTCGACAGACTTCCTCGTCGCACAAAGCCACGGACAGGCGAACTTCCAAGAAGTTCAAGTGTGACAAGGGCCATCTTGTGAAATCGGAATTACAGAAACTGGTCCCCAAGAGCGAGAGCGCCACCCTGCCCGGGGCGCCACCGGAGGCCCCTTGTAAGAGTGAGGCCCTGGAGCTGGCTGACGAAGGCCCGTCGCCCCCGGGAAAGGAAGCCGGCGCCTGCGCCCCGCGGGGGACCACAGGCCTCCCCTTCGGTCACGGCCGAGTTGTGAGCGGTGCTTGCTCAGCGAGGACTGAAGACGGCCCGTCCGGCACCCCGCCGGGCACGGGGCTGAACAGCGGCCCCGCCACAGTGGGGGGGTCCGCGCCGGAGACCGAGCAGGCCCGGGCGCCGCCGCTCCACATGGACAGCAGCGTCTTCCTGGACGATGACAGCAACCAGCCGATGCCGGTGAGCCGGTTCTTCGGCAACGTGGAGCTGATGCAGGTGAGTCTGGTGGTGCGCTCCCCGCCTCGGGGACCCCTCTGCCGTCCAGCTGCGCTCCCAGCGACGGCACGTCAACACCGCCTTGGCACAGCTCAAGGGCATGGTCCTCATTTTGACCCGGGAGGAGGGGAGGAGAGGAGGAAACAGTTGCTCACTGGGACGGCCCCCCGCCCCGCTCCCACACTCTCGCTCCCACACCCTCACCCCGCCCCTGCTCAGACTTGTCACCATGGCCCCCCGCGTGGGTGGGTGTGGGCTGTGTGCCTCTGGACCTCCCCACAGGGTCCTGAAATCCTGTCTGTGTGTGTGAGCAGCACCCCATGCCTGCCAGGCTTGCTGGTCCCCCTTTCCCTCCCTCCCTCCCTGTGGATGCGGCCCTCGCCCGGGGAGCAGCGAGCTGCAACTCAGCCCCCGCCATCTGCAGGCGGCGCTGAGCTGGGGGCGCTGAGCTGGGGACGGTGCAGGCGCCCCCGCAGGGAGAGGGTCCTCGGTGACTGACGATGGCGTGTTCTCTTCCCCCCAAGGACCTCCCGCCCGCGTCTTCGTCCTGTCCGTCGGTGAGCAGGCGAGAGTTCAGGAAAATGCATTTCAGAGCCAAAGATGACGAGGAGGAGGAGGAGGATGCAGAAATGTAGGGAATAAAAGACACACGCCGACTTCTTTGCATACTTAGTGCCGTTAACAACTGACAGTTCCGTAAATCAGGAGGCTTACAAAATTTATCCCCAAGAAGATGGGTCCTGAATCCCACTTCCTGGGGGCAGGCTCTCCCCAGAACGAAACCGCCCCGAGGGCGCAAGCTGCTGCCTCGTTGGTTCGCAGGAAGGCCAGCCCCTGTCGGGTCTGCACCGACGCGGGAGCAGGGTTTGAGGCGGCCAGGGGCTGACTCTACCAGACGTATTTGTAAAGAAAACTCTTCGCCTAAGCTCTTTAGTTTTGATAACATGCAAGCTCATTTTCCATGGTCAGAATTTGATCATTCTCGTGGTCGGTTTAGTGACAGTTCTTAAAGAACCCGCCTTTATTTCCGTGTACAAAGCTAACGTTTATCTTCGACATTGTGGGGGAATGATACATGTGGGGGGAAATAAACTATATTTTGAAACTATTTTAAGAAGCCTAATGTCCCTGAAGCTGTATTCCTTCTAAAACGTTTGGGAGCTCCCTGGCCCGATAGCTCAGCTGGTTAGAGCGTCCTGATACGCCAAGGTTGTAGGTTCAATTCCCGGTCAGGGCACATGCAAGAAGCATCCACTGAGCACATGAGTAAATGGAGCCGTTACAGGAGAAACTCTTCTCCTCGCCAGTGCAGGAAGGAATTACAGATCAACGAGTCTGTTGGCGTGGAAGCGGGGTCCATGGGTGATCCGTTCTCATGGGGGCCTCGTTAACATGGGGGCTGCGGTTGAAAGGCATAGGTTCAGGGTAAGGGAGGCAAAGGCAAGAGCGGCCAAAGGCCAGGGCGGCGGGTGGGCCAAGAGCACCAGGCTGAGAGACCTTTGTCCTGAGCACTCACGCACTTACACAGCTGGTGGGTCTGGGTTGGAGAGGCGACACATGGATCGGTGCTCAGGTAGTACCAGCTTCCGGTGGCGCGGGGGGCGGGGGGCGAATACCCACCGCTGTTGGTGCTTCCACTGGGCTCCGTGGGCCTTTCCAGGTTGAAAGCAGAGTTTCGAGGCTTTCTCTCTCAGCGGGGACGATACGTGGAATTTGAAGGGCACCCTCCTCCCCGGTCAGTGTGGCGTTTCCTGTGGTGTTGGAGCCCCCGGCACTGCTATCGGACCAGGTTCGGGACTCCTGGGTCCGTGGGTGAGACGGGTCTCCCTCCTCCCTGCCTTGGTTTGCCGTCTATCCTGCCTAACAGAACAACAGACTGACGTTTGTCTCTCTCCCCCTTCCTCTGTCCAAAAAAAAGGTTTAACAAAATAAATACATAAAATGAAATAAAACATTTGGAGCTTAGTGGAGAAAGCAGCCGCGGCCCTGCCGGTCCTGGGAGGGCGGGGCCCACTCCCTCCCCGCCACCCCCCCCCGCCCGCTCCCGCCCCCGGGAGGCAGGCAGGCGCTGTCTGGCACCTTCCGTGTACAGCGTCTTCACCGGCTGCCAGGGCACAGCTCTGCGGAGGCCCTGGGGCCTCCCCAGAGCTGAGTGCTGTCCTGTTGATGCGGCGGCTTTGGGAGCCTGGGGGAGGGGGGGGCGGGCACTGGTTGCCCACAGAACCGCCCCATCGTTCCAGGCCGGGACACTCGGGCCTGCCCCTGGACCTCCAGAGGGGAAGGCGCTGGAGATTGAATCAGTGGCCAGCGGCCAAGGACTCAGCACGACTTGGTGCTGAAGCCGCAGGAGGCCCTGGAGGGCAGGACCGCCCCGGCCAGGCCAGCGGGTGAGCTTGTGGGGAGGCAGGAGCCTGGAGAGCCCCACACCTGCGCGCCGCCCCCGCCTGGCCCTGCACGCCTCTCCGCACGGGGAGCCTGCCCTGGGACAGTAAGCCAGGAGCCTGTCTGTGGGGGCAGGGGCCACGCGGCAGGGAGGGCCACACGGCGGGGGCCCCGCTGCCCTCCACAGTGCCAGCGGGGGTCACCAGGCGCAGCACCCCCAGCTGCCCCAGCCCTGCAGGCCGCGCCTCCCGGGCCCCACCTCTCGGGCCCCACCTCTCAGCCCCCTGGGGTCGAGGGAGGAGCACCTCGCACTGTGATATGGTCTCCCCAGGGGACGGAGACACCGGGGCCAGTCTTTGCAAAGTGATGCGCAGCCAGGCACGGAGCCGCTGGGGGGAAGCCACCTCCCTGCGCGTCTAGCCGCCGCGCGGGAAGCACGGTCACTCCTACCCTGAGCGGGGCACAGTCCGCCCTAACTCCGCTCAGAGCCCCCGCTGCCAAGAAAGTATGTGGCCAAGGCATGCTTGCAGCTGTGCTTCCAGGACCGGGGCACGGAACGGCCACCGCCCCAACCCAGCCAGGGAGCAGAGGGACCCCCCGCCCGGCGGCTGCCCTGCACCCCTGCACCCAGGGCCTGGGAGGAGCCGCAGGCATCCCAGCCCGGGGGTGGGGTGAGGCTCCTAACATTCCACACCAGCCAGCAGCTCAGTGCAAGGTAGTCTTGTGTTTCTTTGAGGACAGTGGGACAATTTGGGTCAGCTTTTTTTTTAAGATTTTATTTACTTTTAGAGAGGGGAAGAGAGGGAGCGAGAAACATCAATATGTGAGAGATACATCAATCTGTTGCCTCTCGCACACCCCCCACTGGGGACCTGGCCCGCAACCCAGGCACATGCCCTGATGGGGAATCGAACCAGCAACCTTTTGGTTCACAAGCCTTTGCTCAGTCCACCAAAGGGTCTGCTTTTAAAAGATCACTCTGACTCCTTATTTTTATTCTCATGTCCATCATTTTCAATGAATACAAACTTTTTCAACATGTCGATTTATGGAAAACTTTTGTGATTTTACAGTAAATGTGAAAATGCAAATGTTACAAAATGTAAAAAATAAACTTTTAAAAATTATAAAATAAATGGCTCATTTTAAAAATTTCAAGTAGTCATCCATTGGTTCCCGCAGGGCACCCCGTCCCACCCAAAACCCGAAGGCACTCAAGTCCCTGAGGCAAATGGCGAGGAGTGGCCTGCATAGCTGCCCTCCGCGTGGAGGACGCCAGACCGCAGCGCGCAGCCCGCGGGTCAGAGGGCCAAGCGCATCAAGGAGCGCGTGGCTTGCAGAATCGGCCCTTTGAAACCCAGTCGTGCCCACCATCCCCAGAATTACTGCTGTTCACAGACATGCTGTCTGCACACACTAACACATGTGTGACACACTTGTGGTCTTTCCCAAGCCACCAGCCGCACCGCCGAGTTCGGCCGCTTGTGCCCTGAACGGGCAGCGTCCTGCCTCTGTTCGCAAACCTGAAGCTGCCGCGCAGCAAGTCCTGGCGCCAGCACCGCCTGGGCCTGGCCCACACCTCAGCAGTCTCGTGCGGTGCGACGTGCCGCAGCTGCATGCCCTGCTCCGGGCCACCTGAGGGCCCCCGTCTGCCGCTACAAACAGCACAGAGGGAACGCCCTGTGTGTTCTTTACAGGGTGGGACCGTTTCACCCCAAAGGCCTGGGGGTGGAGCTCCCCGCCTGCCCGGGGAGGGAGACCCAGCTGAGCTGACGGAACGTCTTGTCCCTCAGCCTGGGCGTGGAGGCTGCCACCCAGCACAGAAAGTGGGGCAAGTCAGAGAGGGCGGGTCCCTGACCCCGCCCCAGGACCGGACACCAGCACCCCTGACCTCCTGTCAGGGTGCCAGACTCATCCTTGGCTGCAGGCTCTCGGGCGCAGACACAGATTCAGGGATGCCCTGGTCAGAAATCTGTAGGAAGATTTTGTAAAAGCTTTTTTCAGAAGGTATTGCCATGGAAAAAAATAGCACCTGTGAAAATTCTGCTGTCCCCAGCCTGGGGCACCATGGAGGGCGGGAGCCGAGTCACCACCCTGGGGCGCCGTGGAGGGCGTGAGCCAAGTCCCCAGCCCGGGGCACCATGGAGGGCGGGAGCCGAGTCCCCAGCCTGGGGCGCCCTGGAGGGCGGGAGCTGAGTCACGGGCGCTTGCGCGCCGCCCGCTTCCTCCTGGGCTTCGTCTGCGGCCTGAAAATCCTGTGAGGGTCACAGCTGAGTCTGTGGGTGGTTTTCTTGTGGCAGGCAACGTGCACCAACTTCAGGTTCTCAGAGGTGAAGAGCAAGCTGTAAAAATACTCCCAGTCCACCTGTCTGCCGTTCTGGTCTTCGATCGCCTCCGCCAGCGTGGGAATAATGGTGCGTTTCTTTTCTATCCTGCAGAGTAAGGTTAGAGGTGGTCATTTGCCATGAAACCCCAGAGGCACCAGCCCGCCGGACCCCAGAAGCGGCTGAAGTCCAGCTTCTTCTCGGCCGTAGTCAAATGTAAAGCAGTGATCGGGCCCCTTACAGGAAAGGACAAGTGGAAAAGTGAAGACTTCTAAAGACAGCACACTTGGCAACAACCCAAGGAGCTGGGTGGCAATGACAGGAGAAGACCCGGTGCTGCCACGGGACACGCACTCAGGGACTGTCCCTGCACATACTCGTCCGAGTGCCGGCACCGCGCGCGGCCATGCCTGGCGAAGCCCGCTGCAAGCGGCTTCGCTCGTGCCACTGTGAAAACTGAGTGGCTCGTGTCTTTTCAGTAGTGAGAAGTGCACAGGAAGAAATGGGGACCAGCCCGAGTCCGTCACGGTCCCCACCGCCACCCTGGCTTCCTTGCTGCCACACTTTTGTCTGTGTGTAGATTTACCAAAGAATCACACAATCGCACGTGGACGTTTTTTAAGTAGAACTTTACAGATAAACCTAGTCACTTCTGACGACCACGTTGACCTCGTTCCCCTCATCCCTGCCCGGCGATGACCAGTGTTAGGGTTTCAAGTTTGTCCTTCCAGTCCTGACCTGAGACCCGTCTGCGCGCGTAAGTGTGCGTCCGCTCCCAGCGGTCATGACGCTGCTCCGTGTGAGCTTTTTCACTCTCACACAAGCAACGCGAAGACCGTGCGCTAACAGTGCCAAGGCTCGTGAGCGGCTCAGTGGACTGGACAGGTCACCGCCAGGAAGGCTGGCAGCAGTGTGGTGCACCGACCTGGTGCAGACAGGCTCCTCTCCCTACCACACAGCAAGCGCTGAATAAAATGTCCCTTCCTTTACCAAAAAATGAAAACAAAACCGTGCTTGAGATCAAAAGAGAAGAGAGGCCCCGGATGCCGGACACAAATCCCTTTTTGGTCCACAGGGACAAGTGACATGCACGCAGCTCCCCGGGTCCTGAGGGAGGCGCTGGAGAGCCAGGGGAAGAGACTGAGACCCGTCACCAGCCCCTAGGGGGCCCGGAGGAGCTAGGGGCGGGGTCCGGGGCTGTAGGGCGGAGGAAGGAAAAACCACGAGGTCAATTACCAGCCGCTGTGTAACCAGCCCCCCAAAACTTAGCGCTTTCTGTGGGTGGCCTGGCGGCTCACATGGGTGTGCTCTGCGGGTGGGGCTGGGGCTGGCCCTCCGCCTACAGCCCCGCTCCCCAAGGAGGCCAGGCCACCTCCTCCCTCGAGTGCCGATGGCAGCGTCCAGGGAAGACAAGCCCCTGTCTGTCCGGCCACCACTGGCGCCCTGCCTGCCGGAGTCCGGCAGCTGCAGGAATCCGTGCGGGGGCAGGGACACACAGCGAGGACACTGGGAGGTGAGACTCGCTCAGCCGCACGGGTGTAACCCTCTTGCACAGTGACCGCGGGACCAGGGCCCTCGGCCCACCTCACACAGGTGCGTGGGCGAGAGATTCCCCTGCAGTTGTTTCAGAAGCACTGAAGGCCGGGCGTCCGGCAGAAAGAGACTTGGCGCCGCCCTGCGGGGGCACTTTAGCAGACAAGCTGTGCACACAGCTCATGTCCAGGAAGCGTAACGCCTGCTGGGGACGAGCGCAGGCGCGCAAGCAGCCCGCGGGCCACCCTCAGCCCGGACGGCAACTGCAGCACGGTGGTCCCCAGGGATGGGAGGAAGGGACCTCAGCCGTACCACGCTGAGGACACTTTCAAAAACACCTGATTCCCAAAAGTGAGCTGCCGCTCTCAGGGCGCCGGAAGGTGTCTGCCATCATCAAGCGGGGCGAGGGCAGGACGGCCTTCAAGGAGCGCGCCTCCATCAAACAGCAGGTCGCCCCGCGCCTGCTCCCCTTAGGGCGCACCGGCAGACACCCGAACACGAGACTTCGGCCCGGCCTGGCCGGGGCGGGACGGCCTGCCCCGGCGGCACCCGAGACGGCCACCCAGGGCGTCAGCACGCTGGCCGCCGGCCCCATGCGCAGGGGGCGCAGCTGAGAGGGACACACGTGGGGCCGCAGGGACGAGGCCCCGGGGAACGACACACAGTCCGCGGTGGCAGCAGAAGCGCCGCGTGCGCCCGCAGCGCCTTCCACACCGCCGCCCGTCGCCCCTTTGGGCCCAGGCCCTGCAAGGGCCACGCGTGAAGCCCGAGGCAGCGGGCGAGCCGCGGGCACCCCGCGGGGCAGCCCCGTGGGCGCCTCCTGGGCCTGGAGGTGGTTCCCCAGGCCGGGCCCTCCCGATGCGGCAGACTCACACGTGGTCCAGGTTCCAGGTGCTGAAGAGGACCCGGCTCTCCCTGTTCCCGTAGGGGTTGATGGAGTGCTTGGACGCACAGCCGGCCACATCGAAAGGACCCTGTGCCGAGAGAGAGCCGGTGACTGCTGCGAAGGGGGCCTCTCGCCTGCTGGCCTCGGCCACCTCCATCGCTGAGTCACTCTCCCAGGCCAGGGGCGCTCTACTCGCCAGAGCCCCAGGTGCCATTGGCACTTAAGGCTGGGCCACGCCTGCCATGTCACCGAGGTGAAGGCCGGAAGGACCCTCCACATGCTTCACAAAGGTCGCGTCTGCAAGTCCCCAGACCTGCGGCCCCCACCCCAGAGGTAGCCCCTGCGGGACATGGCACGCCCGGGATTCACTCAGGTGTCGCGGAGAAGCCTGCGGCGTCTGCCTGCGCAGTCAGAACGCCACCTGCAGCCAATGCCACCCACCAGGAGTCACGCTTAACCAGTGCCCAAAATGTCACAGTGACCACAAGCCCTGAAGTCCCCGAGCCCTCCGTCACCTGCGAAGCTAACCCCGGGGAACAACGTGCGTGTTTTCCAGAGGCTCCTGACCATCCCTCCTCTGACCAGCCCGCCCAAAGCAACGTCACCCCACAACGCCAAGGCGCCATCCACTCGCGCACCTGGGTCCTCCCAACCCACAGCAGCAGCAAGGCCCCCGACCGGCAGGAGTGCCACTGGGGAACGCGCCGGGAACGCAGGTTCTCGGGCCCTGGGTGGGCCCAGCAGCCTCTCCGCAGCCTCAGGGGTCCCTTTTGCTGCAGACGTCCTTCCCTCCCGGGGAGCGGGAGCTGACCCCCACCGGAGGCCCAGAGCGGGAGGCCCTCTCCCCTGTGGGAGGCGGCCCGACGGGGCCCCGGGAAGCAGGGCGTGCGGCCCACCTGGCAGGAGAACCAGCCCTCGGGCGTGCAGAGCCGGCTGCCGGCCTTGGCGCCCCGGTCGAAGTAGCAGCCGTTGTACTGCGCAGCCCTCAGCTTCTGGCCCATGGCGTCCACGACCCGCACGAACTCCTCCCGGGCCTGCACGCCCACCGCAGACGTGTGCGCGCTCACCTGGGGGACACCAAGGACACCGCCAAGGGCTGCAGCCCGCCGCCGCCGCCGCCGCCGCCGCGGAGCCGCCGCCGCCAACCCGCCCGGCGCACACCCCGGGGGCGGCCCTACCTCCCTCAGGTAGCTCCGGATCCTGCTCTCACAGCTGAACCTCAGGTAGCTGGACTTGCTCCTAAACCGGGGCTCCAGACCTGCGGGGAACCCAAGGCAGACCCTGCACTCCGCGGCCGCCCTCGGCGGGAGGGCGGGTGTGGGCTGGGGCTGTGTCTGGGAAGTGCCCTGCCGGGCCGTGCACGCCCACCCTGCTCACGCTCCTGGGGGGGTCTCTGGTCCACCAGAAGGGTCTCAGGCGCCTGCCGGGGGCTCCTGCCTGGTGCCACCTTTTCAGGACAGACGCATTCTCTCAAGGCCGCTTCGAAACTGACTGAACAGGCCAGGCCGAAAGGCAGGAGCCACCCCCTGTCCACCGATGGATGAGTGGATAAAGAGAGCGCGGCCCAGCCACACAGCGGACGGTGATTCATCTTTGAAAAGGAAGGAAACTCTGACACCTGCTACAGCACGATGGACCTTGAAGACGTTAAGCTCTGTGGGATCAGCCAGTCACAAAAAGACAAATACTGAGCCCTGGCTGCTGCGGCTCGGCTCGGTGGCTCGAACGCCAGTCCAGCCTGCGAACCAAAGGGTCGCCTGTTCGGTTCCCGGCCAGGGCCCCAGTAGGGGGCGCCCGAGAGGCAACCACACATCCATGTTTCTCTCCCTCTTTTTCTTCCTCCCTTCCCCTCTGCCTAAAAATAAATAAAATCTTTAAAGAAAAGGGAGAGGACAGTGGCGACGCCCGCCCGACAGCGTGACTGTGCCCGACCCCCTGAGCCGTACCCTTGCCCTTGACAACGGCTAGGACGGTGGGCTGTGTGTGACGTGACCTTCCTCACAGTCCCAGGCTGCCCAGAGTCCACTTGCCACGCGCAGGGGCGCAGGCGAGCCCCTAATCTGGGGCGCCCCCCGCTGCGGGAGCTCACGTGGAATCCGGCCGCCCCTGGGGTGTCCAGCTCGGGGAAGCCCTCCCACCCCCAGCCGCCCAGGCCCCGGCTCCACGGGGCACCTTCGAACCAGGGCGGGTCCTCATCCCGGGTCTCGGCCGCGATGTTCTCGCTGATGGTGTGCAGGAGGTCGGCCAGCAGCTTCTGCCGCAGCGGGGCCTGCTCGTCGGACAGCAGCTGTCGGGCGGCCTGGATGACCCCAACGTGCGGCTTGTGGAACACACTGAGGAGGCGACTGATGTCACTCACATCTGCCACCAGAAGGGGGGACAAACAGAAGGGCTCTCAGTCCTCGGGGCACCGCCTTGGGAAGAAACAGTGCTCGCGGCCTCCATGAGAAAGAGCTCCCCGGGCCTACACCACTCCTTCGGGAAACTGCCAACCCCAGCGTGCCTGAGGTCCCGGTCCTGGGGCGGTGGGCCAGGCGCCCCGACCTCGGGTGGGGCGAGGACCGGCAGGAGGGCTCGGGGAGCCCTTCGGAAGATGGAAGCTGCCCCCTGCCACCCCCTCTTCTCCAAACGGAACCCTCTGGTCTTTGGGCCTCCCGGGGGCCTCACTCCCCAGGTCTGCGAGGCACCTCCTGCCGCCTCCTGGAGTCGTTTCTCATGCGCCCAGAGCGCCCAAAGCGGTGAGCCACCCAGCAGGCCAGGGAGCCACCCCGTGGAGCCGGGGTCCACCGAGGCCCTCACAGCACCTACAAGCAGAGCCCAGCAAACACGCAACCGAGAGCCGCGGCCCAGGGGTCTGCCGAGGGACCGGAGGCTGCTCAGCGTCTGCAGGCCGGCCTCTGCCACCTGCCCTCCCCAGGAGGAGGAGGAAGAGCCTCGTGGTCGTAACGACCGGTGCGGAAAAACGAGGCAGTGAGAGCCTCCGGCACCTACCCCTGGGGGAAACTCCTCAGGCCTGACAGCAAAAGTAGAAGAATGAAAAAAAAAAAATGGGCAAATTGGCCTCCGTCAAAATGAAGAACTTTGGCTCCAACGAAAGACCCTTCCTCTTCGTAAGAGAATGAAAAGACAAACCACCGGACAAAAGACTCACATTCAGAGTGTCTCAGGAAAAAACGTTTTCAAAATTCACCGTTAAAAAATAAAAAACAATTCGAAAATAGACAAAAGACACAAAGAGACATTCCACCAAAGAGGAGACAGTAACAACCCTGCAGACGATGCGGCGGCCACAGAGCCGAGGCGGGCAGGCTGCCCGGGCTGTGTGAGCGCGCTCCGAAGTTCGCTCAGTGACGGGCCACGCCACGACACACTTCCCCGATCACGCTGTGGAAGGCGGCACGTGACTGTGTACAGATGGCAAATTGCCACAAGAAAAGAGGGCTACCATCATTAGCCCTTGGGAAACGCAAATTAAGCCACCATGGACCGCACTGTGCACCCATCAGATTGGCTGAAGTGACAACCGGCATGGGCAGCAGCTAAGGAGCTCAGGCTCCCCGGGGCACAGCCAGGGGGGCGGCCTGCTGCAGCCCCCCGGAACGCTGTGGGGGTTTCTTTGCTTTTTCTTTTCTTTAACGGCTGTATTGAGATTCAATTCCCATTCCCTGCAAGTTCCCCCAAACACAACGCACAACTCGGCACGCTTGTTATTCACAGGGCCGGGCAACCATCTCCACGTTCAACTGTAGCACATTTTCCTCCCCCGGAAAAGACGTTTCCTCCCCTTAGCTGTCTGCCATCCCCTCCTGCACCCCACCCCAGCCCTAACAACGGCTGATCCCGATGCTGTCTCTACAGCCATCTCTGTTCTGGACCCTCCACATGGGTGGAATCATATTCTATATGGCCCTTCGTGACTGGTTTCTTTCACTTAACATATTTTCCAGGAACACCTGTGTCTGAGCGTGAGTCCAGACTTCACGCCTCTTCCTGGTAAAATGACATTCCATCGTCCGAATCCGCCATGTGTCCATCAGTGAGCACGGGGTCCCTGCCCCCTTCAGGCGTCATGAACCAGGCTTCTGTGCACGTCCGCACACAGCCTCTGCCTAGACGTGTGTCCTCACGTCCACCGGGTCCCTGGGTGATTCTGTTTCCCGGCTTCAGGAACCACCAGACTCCGCCCAGCAGCAGGGGGTGAGGCTGCCAGTCTCCCCGCGTCCTCACCGGCGCTCATCCTCGGGGGGCAGCGGGGAGGTGCAGCCACACGGGGCTTTGGCCTGCATGCCCCTGAAGGCTGATGCTATCGAGCATCTTTTCATGGGCTGGCTGACCGCTGGAGCATCCTCCCCAGAGGACTGTCTGCCAGGCCCCTTCCCGCAGCACCCCCAGGGCCCCGCCAGCTTCCCCGCCACTCACAGCCCTGCCAGGTCTGGCCCTCAGTGAGCAGCACGAGCTCCGAGTTGTCGGGGACGTTCCAGAAGTAACCTGCAGTCAGCTCCGTGCCGTCTTCGTAGAGGCAGAGGCGGGAGCCCGGCACAGGCAGCTGGGGAGGAGGGGAGAGGGCCGGTCACTCACTCATCGGAGCCTCAGAGGAGCAGCATGAGGGCTCCCACACGCAGGCCTCCCAAAGAACAAGAACACGCCACGTTTTAAAGACCCGCGCTTGGCATGCCATCTGCAGTCCAGCGGGTGCAGGCCTGCGACGTGCACGTGTGTCTGAAGAATCCGAGGGCCGGAGCCAGGGCGCCAGCGTAGGGGGTTCTAAAACGTGAAGTCACACCAAGGTGTACACAGCCGTCACTGCTTTGTGGGGTGCAGGACACCGACCCTTTCCAACTGCTCCTCCAGGGCACTTAGAGCCTGAGCCTGTTTCCAAAAATGACGCGTAACTGCTGCCGCTAAGCTGCCCGGTGCAGCCCCATCGGTGACGGCGAGGGTGGCGGGCGGGGGTTGGGGCCCGTCAGCTCCACGCACTCCTCGTTCCCCGGGCGCTGGTTAATTTGGAAGAACGTCTTACTGAAGGTGACACATGGCCTCTGTACAGACGTGTGACCAATGCACAGGACTGTTTACGTGCACAGCTCCGGCTCTCTGTTGCTCCACACCGGACAGTTTTGTGACTTTTTATGGCAACTCCCATCCCGGCCCTGCCCGGCCCTGCCGGGCCCTGCCCAGCCCGTGTACACACCAGCATGGGCCTAGGCGCAGCCACGGAAACAAATTCCATGCGAGTAGGAATAACGGATGGATGAAATACAGCATTCGGGCTGCCGGGCCTGGAGAGGCCTCGGAGCCCAACCCCTTCATTTTACACAAGGGGAAACTGAGTCCCAGGGAGGCCAAGTGGCTGTGTCCTGACTCGCAGAGAATCAGCTGGTGTGCCTGGGAACAGGGTCCTCGATCTCAAGCCAGGGAGGTCGTGACTCTCACAGTCAGAGGACCGAAGGCATCCCCGCACCCCCTGTACGAGCCCCCTGCGCTCTGTGTCTGGCTTAGGAGCCTGAGGAAGAAGTTCCTGACTCCAGGGGTTTCCAGGGGCCCCTGGTGCCAACACGGGGACTCCCTGGAGCGCCCCCGCCATCTCCGCATACACTCTGGAAAGCATACACTCTGGAGAGCGGCCCTTCCCGCTCCCTGGGTTCCCCTGAGAGCGGCGCCGAGGCTTCCCTGACGCTGTCCGCGGAGACGCGCACCTCTGCCAGCGCTTGGCGCCCCGCGCCCGAGGGCCCACATTCCACCTGCCCTGCAGCGCCCGGCGTGCCCTCCGAGGCTCGGCCAACTGGAGGAGCTAGCACCCGATCCACGGGTATTGGAAGGGCCCCATCACAGCCCACGCGGGGGACCCTGGCTCAGGTTCTCCGCCTCGGGACATATGCGGACAGCTTCCGCCTCGCGGGGCACCCGTCAGGACTCGGGGACGCGATGCGCCGCCGGTGCTGATGGTGACAGGTTGTGGGTCAGACTGTCCCCTCATCCAGAGCCTCCCGGCAAGCTCCCATGGCTGCCCTCACCCCTGCGCGGAGCCTGCAAGGGGCGGCCCGAGGCCCCGGGTCCCGGGCCCCGACCCCGGCCCCCGCCGCACCTGGAAGTGGAGGCACCCCTTCCGCAGCACCTCCTGGCAGCTCTTCCCCGCCACCCCAAACTTCTGCTGGTTGTGCAGGGCCCGCAGCTTGAACGTCTTGGGCTTCCGGAACACAGACATCATCCTCAGGGCCTCAGGCTCCGCGGGCAGCCCCTGCCGGGCCCGATGCCCCGGCGCGCCCTCACCGGGACGGCGAGGTCGGATGCGGGTGTACGCGACAGAGGGGGAAGAAGGCCGCGCGCCGCCCCCGGAACTTCATTACCCAGAAGGCCGGGGAAAGCGGAGGCGCGGCCACGCCTGTGCGCATGCGTAATTCCCTGAAACTCCGTTACCCAGAAGGCCGGGGGAAGCGCAGGCACCGTCCCGTCTCTTGCGCAGCCGCGGCGCGGCGGGGCGGGGTCGCGCAGGCGCGCAGGCGCGCAGGCGCGCAGACCGGACCGGGTCTGGTTGTCATGAGAGCGGTGGCCGCGGCCCGAGCGCTGGGCGAAGGCGGCTGGGGCTGCACCTCAGCTGCCACCGCCGCTGCGGCTCGCGGGGGCTGGCGGGCCCGGGGCTGCGAAGGCGGCGCTACCTGAGCTCCGCCGAAGGCGCGGCGCTGCCGGGGTTGGGCGGAAGGCCCTGGGGGTCGTGCGGGAGCCCAGGTCCGGCGGCCTTCCGTCCAGACAGGTACCCCTACTGGCCGGGAGCGCGGGCGCGGGGCCGGGGGCACGGAGGCCGAGCGGGCTTCCAGCCCGGGCTCGCGGGGCCGGGCGCGGACTTGCGGGCCGCGGGCCCGGTGTGCGGCCCGGGGAGCGGGTGCAGGCCCTCTCCGCCTGAGCGGGGCCCGGGTGGCGCTTCCGCGCGCTGCGTCACGGCTCGCGCCGGCCCCGCGGGCGCCTGCGCCCGGCTCCTCGGGTCCCGACCTCCCGATGCCGGACTCACGGCTGCGGGTGACCCGGAGCTGCGTGGCCGGCCAAAACGCGTCCGGAGTGTGGCTCTCCCCGCACAGGGTCAGCTCGCCTCCTGTTACTTATTTAGTTATTTTGTGTCTACTAGTTTCAGAGGTTCTCAGAGGCGCTCTCAGCCCTTGAGATCACTTAACCAAATGTCACTTGACTATGTAACATTGACGTTTTCTTGAAAAGTGGAAACGAGTTTTCTCTCCTGGCCTCCTAGCAAAATGTTCGGGAGTGGCTAAAATGTTTCAGCTTCATTCCTAGATGTCAGTGCGCCAGGTCCGCAGAGAAGCCGATCTCTGGGAAGGAAGGCCTCCGGGGCAGCTTTCTGCGGGGGGGGGGGGGGGGGGCAGCCGGTGTGGTGAGGGACTTGGGGACACAAGGCGGCCAGCATTGCCTGGGGCGGGCCCTGTCCTGCACCAGGGCAGTCGGGGTCCGGCGTGCTCATCCCTGAGCTCTGTTTTGGTGGCCTCCAAAACGTAATGGAGCCAATTTTTATGGAGCCTAAAGGCAGCATCCCCATCCCTTAGTGCCTGCCCCCAACAATATCTCGGAGAACACTAGGAGGTTTACACAAGGGGCCCTAGTGTGGAAGGTGGAGGGGCTTTGGGAGGGGCGTCCAAAGCACAGTCCTTCTCAGACGCCCGCCCTGACTTGCCTCCCTGTGCCTGGGCGTCTTTCCTCCCCATCCCTGAATGCTAGCACCTTGTTCCACACTCACTGAAGCAACATAGTGCAGTGGACGGGTGCTCTGGGGGGGTGGGGGGGTTTTAAAGGTCCTGTGTTTAAGTCTCAGCGCAATAGCAGAGGACATCGGGACCTGACCTCCTGACCAGCTAGGGATAAACCCTGCCCGCGTGGGTCACCAGCCGGATGGCCCTGGGCCTGGGCCTGGGCCTCGCGGCGCCTCATCCCCCTTGTTTGTGAAGTTGGAGTGACAGCTGAACCTGCGGCAGCCATCATGAAGGTTTGCATGGGAGTCCAGCACTAAGGACAGTCCCTGGCACACAGAGTGCTGGCCGGGCTGTGACGCCACCCATGCTGGTGACGAGTGAGTCTGCACACGCTGGGCGGTACGAGGAGGCCCCCAGTCTGTACCAGTTCAGGATCCACAGTCACATGCCCCTGAGACTATCCGACAGCTCCCTACTGCCTTCAGGCTGGGGTGGGTAACAGGCCCTGCTCCTAGAGATGACGGAGGAGCTGCGGGGGCTCCAAGCCGAGGGGAGTGGCTTTGACCTCCAGTGCATCCTGCTGGGCTTTAGAATTTGCTGCAGAAAGTGAGGGCTGGGGCAGCGTGTGGGGTCAGGAGCCAGTTGGCCCTGCAGCCCTGGACAAAGGGCCCGTCGGGTGTTCTTGAGTTGGGACACGGGTGGCGGTGGCAGTGGCCCCAGCTGGGCTCCAGGAGGGGTCGTGGGGGCAGCGAAGCAGCTGGGGCCGGGCAGCGCGCCTGGTAGGGAGGCCTTGCTGTTGGCAATTAGGAAAGTATTCCCTGCTGGCACGCGGTGGGAGGGGAGGAGAGGTGCAGAAAGGGGTAGAGGGTGGGTGGGGCGGTGCCAAGGTCAAGGGGGCAGGCGGGCCAGCCAGGCCGACAGCAAGGCCCAGTTCCCCGCCTGGAAACGCGGGTGGGGCTCTGCTGCGTCCACGTCTTTGTGGCTGCTTTCCATCATTTCTGGGTTCGCTTAGTTTCCCTCTACCGCACTGGGACGCTGTGCAGCGAGCTTTGTGGGGAAGATTCTAGAGCTGGGATCTCTAGCAGCAGTTCACCGTACTGTGTTGAACACTTTGTTCGGACCTTCTGAGACACATCAGCAGGTGCCTGGCAATGGCCGGTCTGTCGACGTGGCCCTCTTTGGGTTCTCAGGGCCAGTGAAGGCGGAGTGGAGCGCTCATCAAGCTCGTTAAAACGAGCCGTCCAGTGCGGACGTGTTTACGTGGTCCCTGCTACTGAGAATTTCAGTTAATAGTATGTCCAACCCCAGAGAACTCTTTGCAGAGTTCTTTTTCTTAACATTTTTTCTTTTTTTTTTTTTTTTTTTTTTTTTTTTGAGAGAGGGGAACAGAGAGAGAAAGAGAAAAAGTGAGAAATCAATCAATGTGAGAAAAACACATGCTCTCCAGCCAGGGACCCAGCCCGCAACCCAGGCCTGTGCCCCGACCTGGAATCAAATCGGTGGCCTTTTGGTTTGTGGGATGACACCCAACCCACTAGCCACACTGGCCAGGGCTCTGGAGAATTCTCGATCCCCTGTTTTAACCAGGACCATTTTAGCCACAGGTGCTTAGCCCCAACTCAGCGTGGCGTACGGAAGCAGGGCGTATGGGCTCGGTAGCTGGAAAGTGCCGGACGTCCATGGGGGGTTTGGGCTTTAAACGTGGCTAGACCCAAGGCCCACACGGCTCTCTGCCTCATTCAGCAGGGCTCCCGTGGTGGCCCGCTCCATGGCAGGACCCCCACTGGTGGACTCCAGCAGCCCCCACAGATGTTACCCCCCAGGCCCAGGCACAGCAAGAAGGAAGCTTCTCCTCCCTGGTAGCCCCAGCAAAGTTCTGGGATTGAGTGGCATTTGTCCGTGCAGGTCCTGTTGTCCTGGCTTTGGCCCTGAACCTGTTACCGGGGAGGGATATGGAACTCACGGACTGACGGAGCCCATGGAAGGTGGCCGCCACGGGCGGGGCGCTGAGGAGTGCCGCGCGGGGTCTCAGCCCCCAGGCCCCAGTGCGGGGTGGGCAGGTCGCTGGGGGAGGCCATGGCTGAGGAGCTGTTTCCAACCCAGGACAGGGCGGACGCCACACAGCCTCCCTCAGAACAACAATGCATGACCGAGGCCAAAGTCCAGCGCATTAAAAACCGTGCCATGGCCCTGGCCAGTGCGGCTCAGAGAGACCGTGGTGCGCGCTCAGTTCCCGGCCAGGGCACAGGCCGGGCTGCAGGTTCAGTCCCCGGTCAGGGCACATGCAAGAGGCAGCCAATTGATGTTCCTCTCTCACATCGAAATTTCTCTCTCTCTCTCTCTCTCTATCTCTCTATCTCTATGCCTTCTCTCTCTAAAATCATTAAGCATGTACCTGGGTGAGGATTTTAAAAAATCATGATTTAAAAAATGCCCCCAACCTATACGTGTGTGGTATCTCCTAGGAGTCGGTCACTCGACCAGGCTCTGCGTGTCTGTCCTTGCAGCTGATGTTTCTGCCTGCAGTTCTGCTCCCTGCGCTCGGTTTGTGCGTTTCCACGTAGCGCGCACTACACTGTTGATTAAAAAGTCCCCTTTCCCCCTTCCCTTTCTATGACTTTTTGATATACTGGTCATATTAGTTTCCTAACATAAAAAGCTTTGTATTTGTATCTTATCCAGAAATTTTGTCTCCGCCATAATAAAGCACCAAAACTGGATGACTTAAAACAACTTATTCCGAAGGCCAGGAGTCCGGAATCCAGGCGTCGGCGGCTGTGCTCCCTGCGGGGGCATCCGGCCCACGGGGCAGCACAGAACCGCGTGCGTCTCCTTAAAGCATGATGGGATTTTTTTGTGATTACATGTTGCGATGTATTTAACGTGTGGCCCAGAGGTTTCAAAAAGCCGGACGCCCCCTTCAAGGCTCTGGGGAGCCCCTCGGCCTTTAGGGCCTGTGGATGCGTCGCTCCTGCGGCTCCACGGCTGTCGCCTGTTCTTCTGTGTATGCGTGCGTGTGTGTGTGCGCACGCCCGTGTCTGTTTTCTCACAAGGACACCGGTCATTGAAGAGCGGTCTGGCCCACTCTGTAGGACCTTATTGTAACGCCCGTTACGTCTGCGAGGACCCTGTTCCCAACTACGATCCCACTCACAAGGGGGCTTCAGCGTGTTCGGTGGGGGGACACGATGCAGGCCACAGCACCGGCTGAGCTGCTCAAATGTGTACTTGGGGAAGTGAAAGTCACTTAAAAGATATCGTAAGTAGAATTAGAGGCTCCTACAAAGAAGTGTTAACCAAAAGCCAGAGCCTTTCGAGTCACTCTGTGCATCAGCGAGGCTCGGACGCACAGTCTCTGCGTACTGGCCTGGCGCGCTGCCGGACCTGTCGTGCTGAAGGGGTGTCTCCTGCTCTCGCCCACAGCGCCGGCGCGCAGGATGCCCCACAAGATCGGCTTCGTCGTGGTCAGCTCGTCGGGGCACGAGGACGGCTTCAGTGCCCGGGAACTGATGCTCCACGCCCCGACCGTCAGCGGGTGGAGGTCGCCAAGGTGGGCTGGGCCTGGGCGCGGCGGGGCGGGGGCTCCTCTGTCCTCATTGTTGTCCCTCAGATGTCAGAGCCACAGCCTGCAGGCTGTCGGCCACGCGCAGCCTCTCCTCGCTGGTTCTGGGACACGTTTTCTTCCCTCTGCTTATGTTTTTAAAGAAAATTTGGTGGCCCTTCATAACATCCCCTCAGACGACTAACCCATGGTCCCTTAAGAAACGTGCAAACGCAAGAGAGAAGGAAGACAGCGCCCCCACCCCCGGGGCTGCGCCGCGTTCCCTGCATCCCTTGGGGCTCACGCCGCCGTCCGTGTTCTGTGCGGAGATGTGTGCTTGCGGGTTTCTTACTTTCGCATGCGCCGGGTTAGATGCTGCATCCGAGCACTGTTATGTAACACCCAGCGCTAACCGAGCAAGGACGTGTGGCGCGGCTCGGACGCTTGCGCACTGTGACAGCGGCGCCCGTCGCTGGAGCACCGTGACACAAATCATCTGTCCCTCACAGCAGGCCCTCCCCGGGGCCTCGCTGCTCGGCCAAGGCGGAGTCGCGCTGTCGAGCCGAGTCGCCTGGTGCCTGGCCAGGCCCACGCGCTGCGGCTCCGTTCAGTCCCCTGAGGCAGCTGTCCCTGCTCCCTCCAGTCCCAGTCCCAGCCTCGCCCAAGTGTCCCTGCTCCTCGTGACTGCATGTCACAGTCCAAGTTCCACCACACACCTGTGGCTTGTTTTTATTCACCGTTGCTGCTAGGAGTTGAATGGAGATCTTGTTAAAATTGAAAGCATAGCTTTCCTTTAGTGTTTCTTGAGGGAACCCAACAAAGCCGACTCCTGTTCCCTGCGCGTGTTCAGGAAGGACTGAGACAAGAAACGAGCGTAAAGCAGATGGGGACACCATAGTGCCTTTATTGCCTGTGAGGCTGGTGCTGGTGGCAGGGCTTTACCTGCAGGCCAGTGAGTGTCGCAGGACTGAGCCGCCTCCCCAGGGCACCGGCTGGAGGGGCGGGGCCCCCCAGGCCAGCAGTGTCCCCACCTGTGCATTCCCCGCCTGCCAGTGCCCCAGTCCCGCCTCTCCCTGGCACGGGGCCATGCAGATCCCCTCCGCCCCCCGCCCCCCGCATGGCCCCCCACAGGGGCCCTCCGTGTTCGTGTCTGCCGCTCATGGCAGTGTCTGCGCGGGTTAACGGGCTCGGCCGCGTGGAGCAGCGCTGCCAACGCCACGTGTATAAACGTAACCCGATGGCCCTTTCGTGTGCCGACATGGTGGTGTGTGCTGCTGCCGAGGCCTGAGAGGCCCTCGCCCTGGCAGCCGGCTTCCTGACCACAGCCCAGGGAGGGAGGCGCCTCGCAGGCTCACACGGGGTCTGGTGGGGGTCTCCTGGCTGCTGCGCAGAGCGGTCCCTGAGCCCCACGGGAGAGGACAGGGCTCTGCTGGCCCCAGTTAGGGGGGGGCTCGGGCTCCTGTAGGCGCAGGCTGGTGGGAAGGGGGCCGAGGGCCTGCCTGGCACGGCGCCGCACCTCCAGGGCCCGTCCGCCCTGGGAGCTGAAGCGTGTGGAGCCCGCAGAGGGTGAGGCCCTTCCCCGCAACTGCAGAACGGCTCTCCCACAGCTGGAGCCCGGGGCGCGAATCTTTTTATTACCAAATATTATTCAGAAAGAAGTCTAGAGCTGACCGTTTACCTGAGAAGAGAGATGCCTGTTTCATCGTACAATCAGCTTGAAGGATATTTTTGATCCATCTGTAAGCTCCGTAACCTGCATTTGAATAGTTAAGTCATAGACCCTTTTTTAAAAGATTTTTGAAATTATACAATTTTAGTTGTCAGTTGTCTGTTTTCTTGAAACAATTTTGGAGGGTTTTTAAAATAAGAACAAAGGGCCCTTTTCATCGTGGATCACTGAGAGTCCTCATTCCTAGAGTGACCTCACCACGCCGTGCGGCCAGCAGCCAAGCCCAGGGAACGTCCCCGCGGCGCCTGCCTGGCGGGGGTCGCAGAGCGGTCGTCTCACAGGCGGCTCAGTGGCCCGCCGCCCGCCGGCTGCACCTCGCTTATTGCCTTTGCTGGCAGAGAACCCAGGGTCGGGGAGTGCCAGCCGCCCCCGGAGCGAGGGTCCACCCGCCCCACCTGTGGTCACCGCCTCCTCTCTCGCCTCGCCCTCCTCCGCCCGTCTTTGCAGGGCCCGCCGCGTTCACGTGCAGCCGCTCCCCGCGGCGCGGGTTTCTGTTCCCCTTGGTTCAGCCGCCGACACAGACGTTCAAATGGGAAACCCCAGAAATAAATGGTGCCATACATTTTAAATTCTGTGCTGTTCCGAGTCACGCGATGAACTCCCTAGCTGTCTTGCCTGTGACCTGAACCGTCCCTCTGTCCAGCGTCCTCACGCTGTAGACACTCCCTGCCCTTCAGTCACTTAGCAGCCGCCTCGGTGTCCACCGCGCAGCCCCAGTGTCACAGCGCCCGTGTCCGGCCCCGCGGCTCGGACGGGCCCAAGAGCAGCCGTGCGGCGCTGCCTGGGAGCGAAGGGAGCGCGTTCCCGGCCTGACGAGGAACGAAAACCCTGTGCCGGGGCGGCCGGGACCGGTGGTGGGGAGAGCATGTCCTCTGCCGTGAGACCGGGAGGGGGGGGGAGGAGGAGGGAGCCCGCGCCTGCCTGCTGCCACCCCTCAGGCTGCGGGAGTGCCCCCCACCGCGGTGACAAGCGCTTCGCGAGGGCGGAAGGGGCGCTCGGTGTGGGGGGTGGGGGGCAGAACAGCAAACGCGGCCGCTGGCCAGCAGCGTCCTCCGGAGGGCCCCGGGGCTCTGCAAGGACCTCGGCGGGGACCCTGGACACAGCGACCCCAGTCACGTCGCTTGGTCACAGTCCACGGTGGTGACTGTGGCAGCTTATGCCTAGTTGGGTTCGTCTCCTCCTGGGCCCGGCGTGTAAAAGCCCGCCCCGCCTCGGGAGTGCGGGTGCAGGGACACACGGCGCCCGCGGGGCTCGGCGCCGTCTGCCGCTGTAGAGGCTTCCCTGGGTCCCCCACGTCCATGCAGCGCCCCACCCTCCTGTCCCCCATGGAGGCGCCCGGGGCCTGGTGTGAGGCCACGTTACCCAGTGGGGGGCCCGGCCAGCGCAGGCCTGCTAACCCGTGGGCTGGGCCGCAGGGTGGTGGCGATAGCTGGGGCCGTGGTCGTGATGCCTCCCCGTGTCTGTGTGGAAATGGCGAGTCACCAGCGAGATTCTGTGGTGGGACTCGGCGACATCTTGTTAGGGTTCCTTGATAAGCAGGAGGTTTTTAAAGCCACGGGGATGACAGGCTCCCCCACGGTGACTGTAGAAAGGAGGGCCTGGGACCCAGCCCAGGGCCGGCCTGGCCGAAGGGCGGGCCCTGTGGGAGGGGGCCCGAGAGGCTGGTGGGGCTCCCAGCCCTGCGACGCGTGGGGCAGGAGGCCGCCCCGGCGGCGGCGCACGGCTCCTGCGGGGGGCGGCTGGGGAACGGGTGAGAGCCCGACGGGGACACGGGGACGCAGGAGGCCTTTCTCAAACCAGGGCTCCCTAGAGTGCCCTGCGTCCCGGTGGGGATGGCCGGGAGAGGGCAAGGCCGGCTGGCGGTGGCGCGGCTCAGCCGGGTGGCGGCACCCGCAGGTGGGCGACGCGGACAGAAGCCCCCCGTGACGGCTCCTGTCCGTGGAGAGTGACTGCTGGGGGGAGGGGGAGGCGTAAGGGACCGGCCAGTGGCGGCCAGTGGACAGGAGCACCAGTGGACAGGAGCGCTCCCAACTGTCCGTCCCTGGGTGCCTCCCCTGCTCCAGGCGCCCTGGACGCCCGCCACGGTGTGAGCCCGGTGCCTGCCGGCTCGGCACACGTGGGACCCGCCGTCTTTGGCACTGTGCCCCTGGCCGGGGTCGCGGTCACGTCCTGTGCAGCCTGTGCCAGCGCGGAGGCTCTGCCGCCTCTCGTTTAGGGCGCTGCGTGCTGTGCCGCTCCCCGGAAAGTGGGAAGCTGCGACGTGGACGGTGCAGGTGTCTCCTCCAGACGCTGAGCACGTGCGCATTAAACACGGCCGGTGGCTGCCAGCTCCTGACAGGATCTACAGCCCGGGCTTTCCCTGCAGCGCCTAGTGGCCCCGTGGGAAACCCTCGGGCTCCGTCTTGCCCGCCGGTACAGCCTCGTAAGGCGAACGTGTTTCTCTTGTGATAAACTCCAGGTTTCACCAAAACCGCCTCCCAGCTGCCCGAGGTGCCATTCGCTGGGAGGCAGGCAGGTCCGATCCAGCCCGAACTCCGAGCTTCTGGTCCCGCTGTGAGGCGCGGGGAAGGGCAGAGCTGTCCAGTCCCCTCGTGTCCTGAACTGAACTGGGGCTTCAGGGGGGCTGGGGAAGAGCACGTCCCAGGGAAGAGTCGGCGCCCGGCACCGTGTGGAAAACCAAGCTGTGTCTGCTTTCAGGTTTTGCCAGTTCCCCCAAGAAATCGTCGTCCAGATGGTGGGGCGATGCCGCATGAGGAAGCTGCAGCTGCTGGCCCACCAGTACATGATCCCCAGCAAGGTCGAGTTCTACGTCAGCGAGAGCCTGCCCGAGTGCTTCGCCCCGCACCAGGCCGAGCGGTTCCGCAGGCTCGGGTGAGGTGGGGGTGGAACGCGCAGGGGGACCTGTGGGGACCCCTGCCCCCGCAGAGCCCGAGGCCCCCCGAGGGCCCTTCCTCTGGGCCCTTCCTCTGGGCCCCAGCCCCCGCTCGGCCGGCCAGCAGCGCTGTCGCCGGCCAGGAGTTTCCGTCCGCCTCCCTGGTGCAGGACTCGCCCTAAGGAGGCCAGTGACGATTCAGCGCCTGCGCTTCCTCCCCGGTGTTCACCGTAGCCCTCGCGCTCCTTAGCCCCCTGGGAGCAGGGTGCTTTGCTGGCCCACGCACTCGCCTGCCGGCGCGAGCCTGAGCCGTGTTCCCCCTCAGCTACGTCTCCCTCTGCGACAACGAGAAGACGGGCTGCAGGGCCCGGGAGCTGAAGTCCGTGCACGTGGATGCAGTGGGGCAGTTTCTTAAGCTGGTCTTTCACCAAAACCACACCAACAAATACAACATCTACAACCAGGTGAGCCGCTCGCCGCCCCCTCGGACGGTGCCCTGCTCTTCGTGGGGTCCTGTGTCTTCTCAAACAGGCGTTTTCAGAACCTCCTGTAAGGCGGATCTTCTACGGAGGAGTGCAGCTCGCCTGGGGAGGACGCTGGCCGGGCCGCGGTGCGCACAGGGCCCGGCGGGTCCCCGCCAGAACCGAAGGGGCCTGGGACAGGCCTCAGGCTGGTCCACAGCCGCGCCCCGCGGGCCGGAGTGAGGGAGGGCGGCTCCTCCCGCTGTGCTCCCTCCACACTCCGCACCCCCGCATGTACGCATGTTTTCACCAGGACACCCTGCTGGGTTCCTCCTTGGCTACGCGGGTGGGCAGGGGCCCCTCCCCCTCAGCTGACAGTCGAGCTGGGCGCTCGCTCCTTCCATTGTTTGATTTACCAAGGTCGCAGCTGTGTGGCCCATCTGTAACCCTGAGCGGACGGCGCCATGAGAGGCTGTGTTAAAACGGGGCTTGCCCCAGCCGCTGTGGCCCCGGTCGGGGGGGCGCGTCCCGTAAACCAAAGGGTCGCGGGTTCCATCCCCAGCTGGGTCGCACAGGAGATGCAACCCATCGATGTTTCCCTCCCCTCCCTCTCTCTCTAAAAGCAAGTAGCATGTCCCCAGGCGAGGGTTTAAAAAAACCTGGGAGGTTTTTAGCCGTTACTGTTTTAATGTCTTTTAAACATTAAAATAGCCACTTGTTTCAACACCTGGCTTGTTTCGGTTTTTATAATTATTGGTTTTTACCGCCCCCTCCCCACATTCTTCACGTTAAGAACCTCTCGCTCACTCGGATACTAACTGGTATGATTAATGGGAGCCGTTATTAGTAACTCTCCACATGAGCACACGTCACAGTCAATGCGCTTCGCTGCGCGGCGTCCCCTGTATGGGCAGGTTGCTTCACGGGGTTCGCGCTATCGCCAGCCTCCCACACTCACTGTCCGTCGGTTCGCGTCTCTCACAGGTCGCTCTGGTGGCGATAAACATCATTGGAGACCCTGCGGACCTCGATGAAAGCAACCTCGTAAGTTTGGGAAGTATCTTTTCTAAAGAAGAGAATTTATTTCTAACAGGAAGGAAGCATTTGCTTTTATCACAAAAGGTGCCTTAAAATCTTTGTAAAATTGGCCGATGAGTAATAATTATACTTTCTTTTACTCGAAATCCGTAGCTACCCCTCCAGGAGACGAGGGCCGTTGGCACCTGCGTCGCGCAGCCACCGGAGGGGGTCCTGGGCTGCTCCTCTCTCTCCTCTGAGACACTGAGCAGAGTGTGTCCCCCACAGGCCTCTAGGGAGAAGCTGATTGACCACTACCTGGGGCACAGCACAGAGGACCCCGCTCTGGAGGGCACCTGCACTGGGTAAGAGCCCGCCCCAGCGGGTGGAGGCCCCCGGCGCGCCTGCGCGTCGGCCGACTCCAGGGCCTCGGACGGGCGTGCGCTGCCCCCCGAGGGCGCGCCCCTGCGAGAGGGCTCCTGAGGCGCTTCGGGAAGAGACCCGCCAGCCGCACGCTGGTATGTCATCGGCACAGGCAAACCGATAGGTAAAAATTAAAGATGTTAACTGGCCCCATTTACCAGCGACTAGACTTTAAACCTTTATTCTTTAAGGAAGTGAGAAACATACACATCAGGGGTTTTTTTTTAAGATTTTATTTGTTTTTAGAGAGTGGGGAAGAGGGGGAGAAAGAGGGAGCGGAACATCGATGTGTGGTTGCCTCTCACACGCCCCCTAGTGAGGACCTGGCCCACAACCCAGGCCTGTGCCCTGAGTGGGAATCGAATTAGTGACCCTGTGGTTCGCAGGCCGGCGCTCAGTCTGCTGAGCCCCACCAGCCAGGGCTCACCGCGGTTTTTATAATTATCGGTTTTTACGGCCCCTCCCCACATTCTTCACGTTAACAACCGTCTCGCTCGCTCGCTTCGCTGCCTCTCGCTTTGGCGGCGAACCCTCCCGGGAGGCGAGCGCGGTGCGGGGGGGGGCCCCCGTGCGTCCCTTTTCTCCCGCCCGGCCCTGGGCACCTCAGCCCCCTGAGCTCCTGCCCGCCGCTTCACACAGCAAGGGGACCCCGCTGCAGAGGGGCCGGTGGAAGAGGCGGACCTCCAGGCGACGTCCAGCCCCGTCCCTGACAGTGGCCTCCCAGGGAGGAAGGGTCCGCCGCCTCGGCTCTGTCCGCAGCTCCTGGGGAGAGGCCGCTTTCACTTGCAGAGTCAGAGCTGTGGCGCAGAGTGACCGACGCTCACGTAGCCTCCCGTCCGCACACAGGGCGCAGCAGACCCTGCAGTCGCTCGGGGGCTGCGGGCTCGCCGAGAACGTGGCGGTGAGCCTGTCTCTCCGCGGAGGCACCCCGACCCCCACAGGCCGGTCTTCCTGGGGCCCTCGGCCTGGCAGGCGGACGGGGGCGGTCGTCAGACACCAGGACAGAGAGCGAGTCCTCCCACAGCTCCGCAGTCCCCGGCCCCAGCCTTCCCAGGGCGGGGATCAGGAGCACCGGGGCTGCGCTCTGGCGTGCCCGCCAGCGTCCTCGCTGAGACAGCCCGCGCCTGCCGCACTGAACCCCGGGCAGGGGCAGGGGCAGGGGCCACCCACCTCGCCCGTGGGCTCTAGCGCCCCCACGGAGAGTTCTTGGGTTGTTTTCGTGTCTATTCAAATCGGTTTTTGCGAGTGAGCCAGGCAGGTCGCCAGAAGGCCGTGAAAGGCCATGCGGGGCACTCGGGGTGCGTGTCCCCAGATGCGCCATCCGTCGCACCCCACCGGGACACGCTGCAGGAAGCGGAGCGACGGCGCCGACACGCCGACCGCCCCGAGTCTCCGACTCAGGCGCACGCGCCCTCCTTTTTCCTCGGAGGAGCTTTGTGATGAAGTCATTGCCCTCATCCCCAGGCCCTCAGGGCAGAGCGCCGGGGACTCGGGCGTGGGCTTGGCCGTATTTGGTAAACAGTCACGGGGCCTTGCCGACACAGGAGAGCCTGTCACTGCTCAGCCGGCACTGGGCTCCGTGACGCAGCCCAGGGCCCGGGTCCCAGGAGGGGAAGTGGGGGTGATGCTTGTCGTTCAGAAGGTGACATTGCCCCATGTCCTGTCAGGATTCGCTGTTATGCACACTCACCAACCAACTTTTTATGCCAAATAACATTTCAATTACACTTTACCTGTATGTAAGACGCCCAAACAGCCGCGTGGTTCCTGTCTCCAGCAGAGGAGACAAGAGACATGGAAACCTGTCCCCTGCCAGCGTCTTGCCGAGTCATTAGAATGGCTTTATTCTTGTTGTGTTAGACCCAGACAACGGAAAGACTGGAGATGACTATCAGAAATAGGCTGTTCGAGTGACTAAAGAGCTCGCGTGTGCCTGGGAGGGGTGTCCTGACCTCCTGCTGGCCCTGATGGCTGATGACAGCATTTGACACCTTAGGTAGCAGCCCCGCAGAAGTGGCTGTCTGTCACTGATGCTCCTCGGTCGCTGTGGTACGGGCGTACAGCCAGGCGCCTGGCCCCGGGGCCCACCATACTCGGCGCAGGGATGGGGCCTGGTGCACAGGGGCTCCGGGTTGGGTTTTCCCCCGTCCACAGCCGACTCCCTTGCACTGCCCTGTCCCCCGGGCCAAGTGCAGAGCCCAGCCTGTGCTGAGCGGCCGTGTGACCTGAAGCTGGGATGACTCCTGAGGCAGGACCCTCCAGGAACAGGCAAGGGAGGGGAACCTTCTCCTGACTGTGTCGTCGGCATGGAGCCCACAGGGCCCTCTGCCCCGCAGTCCCCTGTAGGTAGACACTGGCTCTCAAATGCTCGGTCCTCTCCTGTAGGAAATCTGACTACATTTCCCCACTGGATGACCTCGCGTTTGATATGTACCAGGACCCCGAGGTCGCGCAGATCATACGCAGGTTGGATGAACAAAAACGCGAGGCAGTCCAGCAGGAGCGCTATGACTACGCCAAGAAACTGAAGCAGGCCATCGCCGACCTGCAGAAGGTGCGCCTCAGGGAAGGGCCCGCCCTCACCCCACGGAGGCGTCCATGTTGTCACGCACGTGAAGGCAACGCGCAGGCGGCTCGGGGCCGCACTCGGCGAGCGCCCAGAGACCCGGGCAGAGTAGAGCCCTGGCCTGACGCACGCCTGCCTGGCCCACCCACGGCACCGGGCAGCCGGCCCTCTGCAGGCGCCGCCCAGACGCCAGGCAGGGAACACCAGAGGCAAAAGCACCACCGCGAACTCGCGGTGCTTCTCAGACGCTGGTGTCACGGGCCAGGGGCAGCACACGCTCTGCGGGAGTGCAGCCCTGCCTCTGCTGCCCTGGACAAACCCCGCCCCCTGCCCGGTCGCCACCCGGGTGTGCACTCGGCTCTGGCGGCCGCCCCTGCGCAGAGGCGAGCGGAGCCACAGGAGGCACACCAGGCCCTGTGCTGCAGGTCGGGGAGCGGCTGGGGCGGTACGAGGTGGAGAAGCGGTGCGCCGTGGAGAAGGAGGACTACGACCTGGCCAAGCACAAGAAGCGGCAGATGGAGCAGTACCGCAGCCGGGCCTACGCGCAGCTGGAGCTGCACAGCCTTGTGGAGGCCGAGCTGGTAGGCGCGCCGGCGGGGCGGGGCGCTGGGGGGCGGCCATCGTGCTGGCCGCAGAGCTGGCCACCGCTCTGGGAGACCTGAGGGGCCGTGCCGTTCTCAGCGGCATCAGCTCCTGCATGCCTGTCTGGGGTCGCTGCGGCCACGCTGGGCTCCAGCAGGGCCCCCAGCAGAGCAGAAAGCAGGCGAGGCAGGGCCGGGGGACCTCGCTCACCAGCGTTCCCTCGTTTGTGGGAACGGGTTGCCAACAGCCCTGCCCCGCGCCCCTGGGGGAACCTGTGGGAGGGTGACCCCGGGCCTGGGGGCCGGTGCTGCCCCGGCCCCGACCTGCCATGGGCAGCTGCGTGCACCTGCGTTTCGGAGCAGGAGGCCCAGGCCCTGCCTAGACCCGGGGGATGGGGCGGGCAGACTGGAGCCGCGCTGCTGGCCCCGCTTCTAGCTGCGGGACCGGGCCGGTTCCCTCTCCGCCCTGCACCTCAGCGTTCCCATCGCATTCTCCAGGCAGCACTGGGGCGGGCGCTAATGAGGCGCTGCGTCACCGTGCCCAGCGCACAGCGCTGCATCTGCAAAGGGCACAGAGCACAGCCTCGGGTCCCGCCCCAGTGGCACATCGTGAGGTGCGCTTCCCCCTCCGGGGAGCCGCGCACCGTGCTCAGGGTCACACCGGGGTCCGGCACATGTCCCTGCAGTGCACATGGGGGCCACGCAGGCGGGCGAGCGACACGCCGTGGCATGGCTGTGGGACGCCTGCCGTGCAGATGGCCTCGCTGCCTCCCGAAGGGTTGCGCGGGGAGCCTGGGGCGCGGCGGCCTTGGGAAGGCAACGCCCCCCTCTCCCCAGATGCGGAGGCCCTCCGACTTGCCGCTGCAGCCCCTCACACGCTCTGCCAGTCCTCGCCGCCAGCCGCCCGCGCTGCCGCCACCCGCACAGGAGGAAAGAGGGACAGAAAACCGGCTTGCAGAGCCATTCCTTCAGGAAAAGCCCTCGGTGCGCGCCCTGAACGCATCTCCCGAGCACCACGCTGCGGACCGGCCGCTGCCCACCACACACCCACGCCTCAAGGGCCATGTAGGTAGCTCAGTTCTGGTGCATCCCAGTGCAGGGGGTTGTTTGTGTAGGAAACAGCCAGACCCCGCCCGGCCCCGCCTCCCGGGAGGGGCTGGGGAGCGCGGAAGCCATTGGGCCTGGAGGCCTTCACAGCTCCCCGGGGCCCGGGGCCCAGCCTGCCCCGGCCTCTGCCCGGCCCCGGCCTGGGTCGCCGGCGCCCTGGTGGGCCTCTGCTGGTCTCCCTCTGAAGACGCACAGGCACCTGCTTTGGGAACAGACGGAGCAGCGTTCGCACAGGGTCCAATGGCAGGCGATCTCGGCGCCGGTCTGTGCGGCCGCTGCGCCTGTCAAGCCCATCTAGGCCGCGAGGACAGAGGCGCTGGGTGGGAGTGGGGGGGTCCCGCAGCCCCCAGGGGCGCCAGCGGCCTGGCATCCTCCTGCCCCTCGACTTCCCGGGCACGTGGGCTCAGCCTCAGCTGCGCACCTGGTGCCGCCTGGCACCGCCTGAGTGGGGAGCGCATGCCCCTTCTGATCAGAAGTCCCCACCGTCCCCTGATTACGTCCGCCTCCTTCACGTGCCAGCGAGGACAAGGACCGGAGGGAAAGGTGCGGCTGGCTTCCTCGGACCGCCCTCCTGGAGCTCCCGCTGACACGCGTGGCCATGTGCCCAGCGGCTCCAGGGAGGAGGGAGGGGTGCCCGGTGGGCACGGGCTCAGTGTCCCCGTCACCCCCGCCGGCTGCGTCTCGTCCCGGCCTCGTCGTTTGTTACGTCTCGCGCTCCAGCCAGACAGAGCTCGGGTTTCTCCTCAGCACCTCAGCACGTCGTCTCACACCCAAGCGCCAACTCTAGCGCTCGAGAAACCTCCCGCAGCGGGGCAGGAGGGAAGGGCGCCCTGGCGCGCCCCGTGCAGCCCGGCTCCTGCCTCCGAAAGGGACCCAGGCCGCCCTCGCATTCTGTCGGCACTCAGTTACCTGAAAGTCGGCCTCACGTTTACTTGTCCGTGTGCCTCTGTCTCCCGGGAACGCGTCAGCTGGGAGGGCGGGCCCCTCCGCCCCGGCCCCCCGTGGGGCCCCAGACCAGGGCAGGAGAGCTGTGTGCATGGGTGGGCGTGTTTAAAGTCGGCCTGACTCGCACTCTAAGCCGTAGACTAAAGAAACAGCAGGGGTCTTGTCAGGAAAAAGGGTAACATCCCTTCCTTAGCAACGTGCTCCTGCGTTGAACTGGAAAGGCAGGCGCTGCGTGGCAGCTGAGGCAGCACCTGCATCGCTGCATCCAAGGCTGCAGTGAGTTCTGGGAGCAGCAGAGACCCTGATCCCACGCTGTCTGTTGCACCCTCTCGTCTAAATTACTCCCACCTGATGGTGCGTGTTGGGCGCACACCCTTGGTCCGAGCGAGCAGGGTGGCCGGAGCAGCGGGCTGGGTGCCCGGCGGGGTCCACGTGGAGCTCGGCAGCCCCTTCCTCTCCCGCAGCGCGAACCCCTGCCCCACGACGAGCGGCCCCTCCCTGCTGCCCGCAAGCTGCCCGGAGCGGCCGCTGCAGAGCCAGACAAGAGTGACGGGGACATCAGCGAGGTGCCCAGAGTGGGAGCCGTGGGCGAGCCAGAGCCCCTGACAGAGAAGGCCCTGAGGGAGGCCAGCTCCGCCATCGACGTGCTGGGGGAGACCTTGGTAAACAGAAGGCACCACGGCTGTGTGTGTGCGAGTGCGTGTGCATGTGTCACGTGCCGCCGACCTGGCTCTGACTCCCGCGACTCCATGAGTGAGTGGCGTCCGCGGAGTCCTGTCCTCCCGGCCCTGCTCGGCCCGGCCGGGTCCCGCCGGTGGCTTTGTCAGGGGCGCGGCCCCTCTCACGATGGGGCTCCCTCTTTTCCTGCCGGCCTTTCCCTTCCCCAGCGTTGTCACCTTTTTCAAAGAACCCGACCTTCTCATGACGCGCCCGGAGCAGGTCAGCTTCGGCTTTGTCCTTTTGTCCCCGGCGACGCTCCAGGCTTCACGGGCCCCGGGACCCGCTTGTCCGTCTTGGGTGCAGTGTCTCCGCCAAACCGCCCTCCGGCACCACGTTTCCCAAGAGCCCACGGGGTCCCCCGCAGCCCCCCCCCACCGACCCGCGCCCACATCCGTGCACAGTGACTGGGGTCCGAGGGCAGGCACGGCCGCAGCCTCGGTCCCTGCCGGGCGCGCCTGAAGGGCAAGCCCACAGCTCACTCAGTGGCTGGGGATCAGGGCGGGGGGCCGAGGGGAAGAGTCCCAGTGTGTGATGGTGACTGTCCTGTGTCCTCCAAATCCAATCGGAAATCCCCTGCTCATCACTAACTGTGAAACAGCAGCTCAAATTTTAGATTTCATGTAAGAGTGTCCATCTTAGCCTGTTTCTTCTTGGTGTGGGCAGCGAAGCGAAGCTCCTGGGGGAGCTGTCTCCACAGTTTAACAGCCTTAGGGTTTCCAGATGAGAGAAATGATTTCTCTAAACACATACGTTTACTCTGTCGAGGTCCTGGTACTAGGGATTTTCTCACAGTGGCGTGGTGCTGGGGGTGGCAGTGGCGTCACTGGCCTGCCCCCGGAGTGAGCAGGGCTCTGGTCTGCAGGTGGCCGGGGCCTATTCCAAGACGTGGTCGCACCGTGAAGACGCGCTGCTCGCCCTGTACGAGCAGCTGGCGGGCATGCCGGTGGGGACCCCAAAGGAAGAGCTGAAGAGCGTGCTGCGCGCGGCCGTCTTCCTCGTCAGAAGAGCCATCCGAGACATCGTGACCCCGGTGAGCCCCCGCCCCCCGCAGTGCCCGGGGTCCCAGTGCAAAGCCGTGACCTTGTGCAGGCGTTGGGGGGGCCAGGCGGCCGCCAGGCCACAGAATCGTCGTCAGCTCCCACTGCACTGTCTCCGGGAGTGAAGGTTCTAGAGATGCCGTCAGGGAAGGGTCTGGGACCTGTCTGCCCAGTCAGCCTCGCTGGTCTTGAGCAGCTTCGTGCTCTTTAGAGCCAGGTGCACAGGGGCCCGTTCACCGTGACTCCCTCACGAATGTCCGGTTAATCTTTTACTGTTCATGAGACCCGAGGCTCCAGGAGGGGCCGGCTCATCCCCTCGCTGGGGCAGGGCCTCGGGCTGGCGCCCGCGCCGGCGCTGCCCTGCCTCCCCGGGCTGACCCGGCTCCCAGGGCCGTTCGACGCGCGGCCCCCGCGAGGAGCGGCGCGTGCGCCTGCGTCCTGCGCCCGCGGAGCTGCCCTGGGGCCGTGGGGCTCAGGCTGCGCCCTCAGGCCGGCACAGCGGCTGCCAGCGGCGTGTCCCAGCGGCTCTCCTGCCTCCGTCGCTGTCCTCCTAGGTGTTCCAGGCCTCTCTGAGACTGCTGAAGATGGCCATCACACAGTACATCCCTAGACATAAGCTGAGTAAAGTCGAGACGACTCACTGTGTGGAAAGAACAATCCCTGTTCTGCTCGCGAGAACTGGAGACTCGTCAGCTCGCCTCCGGGTCATGGCTTCAAATTTCATCCAGGTGGGAGCTCCCCCGTGGGGCATTGGTGGTGGCCGTGGGCCCGCTGGCCGGCTTCCTGCCCGTGGCAGGGCTCTGGGTCTGCCTGGGCCCCGCCCGTCCTGCGCGGGTTTCCCGGGCTGGCCTTGGGCTCTAAAACCTCTGTTTTTTCTCAGACGTAAACTTTGATTCAAAGGTGCAGTTTGGTTTTCTAGTGTTTAAGAAATCGTTTTCTTGAGGTGAGGAAGTCCTGAGAGGAGGATCCCTAAGTTTTCAGTCACGTTTTGGAGTTTGTTTTTTTTTTAGATTTTATTTTAGAGAGAGGGGAAGAGAGGGAGAAACAGAGGGAGAGAAACACCCATGTGCGGTTGCCTCTCACGCGCCCCCTACTGGGGACCTGGCCCACAACCCAGGCCTGTGACCTGCCTGGGAATCGAACTGGCGACCCTTCGGTTCGCAGGCCAGCGCTCAGCCCTCTGAGCCCCCCACCAGCCGAGGCTGAGCATGCTTTCTCTAACCTCCGGGAGGTGCAGCTCTGTTTTGTGTGCTTTTCTGGTTGCCTGGCCTGAACAGAGGCCTGAGCGTGCCACTCACCGGTGGGTATTGCTTCCACTTGTCCCTGTCACCTTCGATGGCCCAGTTTTCCCTTCGGTGCCGACTTGGCAGCGCGGGTGAAATGGTGCGAGGTTGCCTGTGGCATCTCCCCCTGCACACGAACAAGGGTGTTGGTCTCATAGGAAATGGCCCTGTTTAAGGAAGTGAAGTCCCTCCAGATGATCCCGGCGTACCTGGTGCAGCCACTGAAGGCCAACGCCTCGGCCCACCTGGCCATGAGCCAGATGGACCTCCTGGCCCGGCTGCTGAAGGACCTGGGCACCGACGGCACGGGCTTCACCGTGGACAACGTGATGAAGGTCAGCGCCCCCGCGCGCCACGCCGCCCTGGCCTGGGCACTTGGGAGGGCGCCTGCGCCGGCGAGGGCAGGGTCCACGTGTGTTGGGTGCATGGTGGGCAGTGTCGGGGAAAGCGGCCTTTCACCCGCCCCCGTCACGGACGGCGGCCAGAGGACCGCGGCTGGGGGCCCGGTGTGTGCCATGGCTGTGCCTGTGGGGGAGCAGGCGCTGTTCTGCCGTGCACAGAGCCCTGCCCTGGGCGTCAGGCGCTGGGGCACTGACCCGGCTGGAGGGGACTGGAGCCCTGGTGGGCACTGGACGTGGGCTCCGTGAGGCGGGGCCGGTCACGGTCTCCACAGGAGACGGTCGGCTCCAAGCACGATGCCGGGGTTTGGAGGCGAGGAGAGGGTGCGAAGTGCTCCCAGGACGCCTGAGAGCAGGGCGCTGCGGGGCCGCTCACTGGGCTGTGCGGAGAACCCGTGGTCCACGGGCCGAGCCCAGGGGGGGCCGGCCAGTGTGACTCAGGCCTGCCCCTCATCCCCCTTCACCCGGTGAACACAGAGGGAAGGGGTCCCAGGTTTCAAGGCTGCGTAGACGCCAGCCTGTGCGTGGGGGACTGACTGCACTCTCAGGCAGCCCACGCGGTGGGGGGGGGGATAGGTGGACGAGGCGTAGTGGGTGGCGGGAAGGGGCTGAGGAGCCGCAGGGCGGGGTACGAAGGCAGGGAGACAGGCGGCAGCAGCCTCGGGTGGGCTCCTCAGGCCAGTGCTCCGGGAGGGTGCGGCGCCTGGTGGGGACGCCCGGGCGCCCACAGGCCCTTCCCACGCGCGTGGCACCGTCTGGGATGAGACGTAGCCTCCGGGACACGTTTGTGGGCCATGAGGCCCTGGAGCAATTAAAATGCATGAAACGGGACTTGGCGGACCTGGAAAATGTTGTGTTGAGGACGGAAGGAAGCTCTGACCGATGACCACAGTGTGTGCACGTGCTTGGGGCAGGCACACGGCGTGGGGGCAGGGCGTGCGTGCCGCCCGCTCCAGAGAGCCGCCGCCCTGGGGGCTCCGGGGAGCCCAGGAGCCTGTCGTCCAGAGACAGATGTGGGTGTTGTCAGGGTGGCTAGTATTTTATTGCTAAAAACAGAGATCCAGGACAGACGTGGCAGGTTGTATCGCTGATTAGCCCAGGCAGTCCATCCCTGTGAAGTTGGTTCCGTTTCTTCTCCTCCATGTGTGCAATAGTTTGTAACACTCATGTAAAGTGTGTGGAAGGACGTCACCTGAAATGTGTGAACGCGGCAAGTGAGACAAAGCAGCGCACACTGCGTGCACCCGACCCACCCCTGTGTGTGTGAGGTCGCCCGCGGGGACAGCGCCGCGTCCTCAAGGCCGGGGTTCTGTGGGCATCTCCCTTTCCTCTGACTTTGAGTGTGTGCGCGGGGCTTCCCTTTCTCGCGTGCTGGATGAGGTTGGCTTGGTTGTCGGAAGACGCAGTAACTGCAGGCCCCGGCCTGCGCTGTGTCCAGTTTGCAGCGCGCGCCCTGGAGCACCGGGTGTACGAGGTCCGGGAGACGGCCGTCCGGGTGGTCCTGCACATGTACCGGCAGCACCGCGCACTCGTTCCCGAGTACCTCCCTCCGGATGACAGCGCCGCGCGCAAGAACGTGCTCTACAAAACCATTTTTGAGGGATTCGCTAAAATTGATGGCAGACCTACAGAAGACGCTGAAATCGGGGTGCGTTCCCTTTCCTGAAACCATGGCCCATCCTCTGCTGACAGAGGTGCGGCGGGAACAGGCTGAGTGCGATGAGCCACCTGGGCAGGGGGCGCAGTGCCTGGAGCGCTGGGCCCTGGGGTGCGTCCCTTGGTGCCTGCTGGGCTCAGTCTCCCTGCTGCCAGCAGGTGGCAGCACGAGGACATTTCCCATCGAATCTGCCGGAAAACGTTCCTTAGATTCATTTCCAGGCTTGCGCTTTACCCTTGTTACGTGACTAGTTCCTGTGACTGTTACAGGGTATAGGAAACGTATGTGTCGTTTGTCCCCCAGCTTCCAGGACTACCCCAAAAAGCTGTTCTAATGGAAAAATAATTTTCATATCAGGCACAGAAAAAAGCAGTTACAGAAGAAGCAGAAAAACAGAAGAAAGAAGAAATTAAAGTTTTACAAGGGCAGTTGGCAGTGCTGAAAGAAATGCAGGCAGAGGTGCAGGTGGGCCAGGTTCCCGCGGGGCCCAGGTCCGGGGGGAGCAGGTTCCCGCGGGGCCCAGGTCCGGGGGGAGCAGGTTCCCGCGGGGCCGAGGTCCGGGGGGAGCAGGTTCCCGTGGGGCCGAGGTCCAGGTGGGCTTTGGGCTTGGGATCCCGTGACTCTGGCCTTCATCATACAGACACATGGCACAGTGTGTTTAGTGTTTACGGCCTTATGCAAATAGGTCTCTTTATTCTTTACTGGCTCCCACACTTGTTTTGGATAAGGGGAAGGAATGCCCCTCGCTCGGCGGCTTGCTCTCCCAGTTCCTCGGGAGTAGGGGGAGCGAGCCACTGCAAGGGCCGAGGGCAGACTCGGGGCGTGAGGGGCCTGTCCTCGCCACAGCCCCCCAGCCTCTGTCAGAGGCAAGCGGGGACAGCACACGGGAGCCTGAGGCCCCAGTGTCCATGCGTGGAGAAGGTGAGGTCTCAGGCAAGCGGTCCCCCTCGGGGAGCCCGCGAGAGGCGTGTGCCCGGTGAACCGAGCGGCCCGGCTCCTGGACTAAAGCGAGCGGCGCACCCCTGATTTCGGTGACTCCGCTGCTGAAGGGGAAGAGGGTCCCTTAACGGCGAAGGAGCCGGGCGGCGGTGGGGCATGGCCGCCTGCCTGCGTGCCTGGCGCCGCTCGCTGTGAAGTGCTGCGATCGCTTCCTCTGTAGCAAGAGTGACGGGGAAGCGTGAAGAGGGTTGGTGATGTGGCTGAGTACACGCTGAGTGCCCGGAAAGGACCAGGGACCGCCCGGCCCGGTGTGCCGGAATGTCAGAGTGACTGCAGGGGAGGGGCAGCGCCCCTTCGGGGTCGGGAACAGGACGGGGCCCGTGGCGGTGGTGCCCCCAGGCCCGCAGTAGGTTTCAGGCTGGTAAGACTTCCCGTTGCGGTGGGATCCTGCCAGCGACCCGCCGGCGCGGGCCCTGCAAGTGTTACCTGCCGTCCCTCAGGGTCTACAGATGAGGACCCTGCGTGGCTCACCCCAGGCGGGCACTCGGCGGCGGTAAAGCTCTGCTGCTAATTCCCTTCCTCCCGCGGCCGCCACCTGGCCTCGGGGACACACTGTCCCCGTGGAAGGCCCTGGTGGCGGTGCCCGCATCCTCACCCACTCTTCCTCGAGGGCCCTCCCTGCTGCCTCTTCGAGCGCGCAGTGTCACCCACTGCGTGCCGGCGCCCTGCCGGGCTTTGGAAATGCAGCCCGGCCCTGCCGCGCGGGGCTGCCGCCCCGGCATCGGCGGGGCGCAGTGAGCACGATGCGCCCGCGGGGGTGCTCGCTGTGGAAGGGAAGGAACCCGGGGGCGCGCGCAGGGTCTGACCGCCTTGGGGACAGACTCTCGCCCCCTGCAGCCGTCTGTCCTGACCTCTCTGGTTTTGTGTCCTAGGAGAAAGAGAGCGAGGCTGCCAGCACAGAGCGTCCAGGTATGTAACCTGCACGTCCACTCGCGGGCGCAGCTCGCCTGCTGCGCGGCGGGCGCTGAGGGCCGGTTGGGAACGCTCCTGCCTGTGCCGACCTGTGTTTTAAAAGCACGCTTCACGTCGAATGTTACTGACTTAAAAAACTGGTTACTAAGCCTTTGAAAGGGGTGGTCACAGAAAGCCATTTGTACTGCTTTTGCTTTGATTTCTGCAGACACTCTCGGAAGCGGGGCAGCCCCGCCCAGTGCTCCCGACGCGCCCGAGAGCCACTACCTCGATCAGTGAGTGCGCGTGCCTTGGCCCGGGATGCAGTAACGAGGGACCGCCCCGCGGGAGGGCGAGGGCAGCGGGCCCAGCCGCCGCCTCCCAGGCCAGCCGGCCAGGGGGTCGCGAAGGCCGGCGGAACGGCCACGCCCTGGCCTCCTGCCGTTTCAGCCTGTGCATTTTCTGTGGGGAGCGGAGCGAGGCGTTCACGGAGGAGGGCCTGGACCTGCACTACTGGAAGCGCTGCCTCATGCTGACCAGATGCGAGCACTGCAGACAGGTCTGGTGGCCCTGCTGGGCACAGTCCACGCTGTGTCCCAGGCCGCCATGTTGTCGGGGACAAGTCGGGACGGGAATGGAACGTCTGTCACCCCTCTTGTTTGGGGTGGCTTCTTTGTACTTGTTGAAGCGTCACACATCTATAAATGCGTACACGTCACAAGTGTTACAGCTCAGTGTCATCACAGGATAGGCACCTGTGTGACCACTGCCCCAGCCAGGGAGACCTCGGAGCCCGAAGGCACGCGGCCTTGATTTCTGACGCTACTAGTCAGTGCATACTCTATGTAATTATTTTGTGCCATTTGTTTTCTTTAACACAATCCATCCTCCTGTTTTGGGAGCTCGGGTCGTGTGCAGCTGGAGACTGTGGGTAACGCTGCTCCTGACTGTCTCGCCCACGTCTGCCGGTGTGCGTGAGGCGTGGGCACACGCCTGGGTGTGGGGCCGCCGGGCGGGCCGTGCCGGGCAGCGGGGCACGCACCCCGTGCTCCAAGGGTCTCATGTCCACCCTTGCACTGGGGCACGGGACCATCTTCACAGCCACAGGGTGGCAGCGCTCCGTGCCAGGCGCCGGGCGCATGTCCCCGGCATTGGCGGGCTGGGCTCCTGTCCGGCTGCCTGTGGGTACCTGCTGCCCCCTTCCCAAGGCGCCTTCTAGTCTCTTGCCCACTTTTAAGTCAGTTGCTTTTTTTCTTTTTTTTTTTTTAATTGAGTCATTTTCATCGTTTACGTGCCTGGCGCGGGCCCGTGCAGGGCCACCGTCCCACTTGGCCTGGCCTCGTCATCAGCTTGCGTGTCTTTGATGAACAGAGCTCTTCACGTGCATGCCGCCCACCTCGTCCTCTCTTCCCTGGTCAACGCTTTTTGCGTTCTGTTTAAGAAATGTCTCCCTACACCAACATTAATACCACCTCTAATGCAGCAGGTTTAGTATCCCTGGTACCGAGGGTCCTAAGGAGGACCCGGGTCTGTGGCAAAGGAAGAAAACAACCGCAGGAGCTCAGTGGGGAGGGGTCCAGGAAGAGCAGATGGGCCGGCGGGGGCTGGGCCGCAGCGCGTGCTTCCTCCCGTGTCTCGGAGCAGGTGGTGGAGGTGTCCAGCTTGACAGAGCACCTGCTGACCGAGTGTGACAGGAAGGACGGGTTCGGCAAGTGCTTCCGCTGCAGCGAGGCCGTTCCGAAGGAAGACCTACCCAGACACATCAAAGCCAAGGACTGCCACCGTGAGTGCCGCCTCGCCGCCGAGTCCCCCGGCCCGCCCCGAGGCCCTGCTGCAGGGGCGACGGCCAAGAGCCTGCGGGTGTCCCTGGGCCCCTGCTGCTTCCCTGCCCCTGCCCAAGCCCCGCGGGAGTAACGGTCTCGTCTCATGGACACTGTTTCAGCCGCTAAACCGGAGAGGCTGGCCAACCGGTGCCCTCTGTGCCACGAGAACTTCCCGCCCGGGGAGGAGGTGAGCGGCGGCGCCGTCCCAGCAGTGTCCCCCGCGGCCCAGCCACACGTCCCTCCACAGCCCCGGGACGGCCTCTGGGACAGGCGCTGTGGGGACCCCTTTGTTCCAGGCTCTGCTCCCTCCCACGTGCCCTGCCCCCGCTGGCGCCGCGGCCGCACTCCACAGCTCTCGGGTCCCTTGGGAGGAATGACAGGGGGCCCAGTCCAGTTTGGAAATCCCACTTCCCAGCCAACTGCAGGCCCCCCCGCCCCGCCCCCCGCCTCCCTGCCCTTCCCGCGCCTGCTCCGCGGGGGCTGGGGCCAGGTCAGGGGGCCGCGAGTGCTGGGGAGCGAGCGCTGGGGCCTGCCCTGGCTCAGCCGCCTCCCCGCCAACCCGCTGAGCCAGCGCCTCCCTCCCCCGCCGCTCAGCTCTCCTGCCCCAGCCTCGGGACAGGGTGCCCACAGGGCCGGAGCCCGGCCGTGCCGGCTGCTCTGTGCCGCCCTCAGAAGGCACAGGCCCGGGCTGTCCCGGCTGCTCTGCCGGCCCTTCGCCTCCCCACGCCCGGGCTCGTCCTCTCCGGAAACGCCGACTGCGTAACGGCGCAGCAGAGCAAAGGGGGCCCCGTCGCGCCCCATCGCCTCCTGAACACCTGCCCCCGCCCGGGTGCCCCTCCCAGACGGCGCGTCACCTCGTGTGCAGACGGCCACGGCAGTGCTCGCGGGCTGTGGCCTGGTGTCAGAGCGTGTCCCCGGCCAACGAGGCCACATGCCAAGGCGGGGCGCCTGTCCCCTCCTCGTGCCCTCTCCTCCCCCGGGGACGCGGAGCCACACGGCTGTTCTGCGGTCGCTGCCACCAACTCAAAACACACCTGGGTTCACCTGTTTCACTTCCTACCCAGCTTCACATGCTCTGCAAAGTGAGGCTCCACAGCCAGACAAAACACATGGCTGGCTCCCACGTCCGTGAAGAGAGCCGTCCTCAGGGACCACACGGAGCTGCTGGCCCTGCTCCACCCGCCACCCCTCATCCTCCCAGCGGCAGCGGCCGGGCATCTGGGGCCACGTTCTCACCTGCGGGCCCGAGCGCCTTCCCGGGGCTGGCAGGCTGTTCCCCTCATCACCCCAGGACTGATCCCTGCTTCCTGCGGGCCATCAGCCGGGGACGCCCTCAGCTCCTGGAGGCCCCAGCAGCCGCCACGCGCCCCCTGAACCGTCCTGCCCGCCTACACAGCCTCCTGCGACCAGGCTGTGCTGTGCTCCAGGGCCCAGGGCCGAGGGGCTGCCTGTGGGGCGGGCCCCCAGGCCCTGGCTGAGGTGGCCGCGCCGCAGGCTGCGAGGCGGCTGACTGCCCGCCGCCTCTCATTCCAGGCGTGGAAAGCTCACCTGATGGGCCCCGCGGGCTGCACCATGAACCTGCGCAGGACGCACGTGCTGCACAAGGCTCCGCCTCCGCCGCAGGGTGAGGACTGACCTGGCGCTGTCCCTCCACTGCCCACAGCCAGAGGGCGTCCTGCCGGCCGCTTCCGGCCCGGCCCCGAGTAGTGAGTTGTGTCCCACTCAGGGCGCTTTGCGAGAAAATGGTCTTTTTCATAAGAAAACTGCCCTGGCCGGAAGGCCTGCGCCGCACCCGCACCTCGGGGGCGTGAGAGAGGCACGCCGGGAGCTGAGCGGAGCGTGGGGACGGAGCGGGCGTGTGGGCGCCTGCCCTGCGCTGAGCAGGGCCGCACAGGGGGGCTCGGCGAGGACAGGCGGCCGCCGGGCTGCCAGGGGTCACCCAGCCGGGGAGAGAGCTCCAGGCACGCGGCTGCGCACGTCCTCCGTCTCTGGGGCTGAGTTTATGAAGCTAAACGCAGGCACTGGTGAACAGTTCAGGTCTCTTCCCTCCGACCCTTCGTTGGCATTTCCTCTGAGCGCGCGGTCTTTCCTCGTCTGCCGTCACACGTGTGTCTGCAGCCGCCTGCGCGGGCGGGTGGCCGCTGTCCTCAGCTGACCCCGCCGCGCAGGCCGGCTCCTGCTCTGTCCCTCCCCAGTTTCTGCGGCTGCCCGGGCACCTGAGCTGTCCCCGTGGCTCTGCGCGCCCGCCCCGGTGTCAGCCCCTGTCTGACGCAGCGCCGCTGCTGTGTCTGTGTGTCTGCCGCAGGGAGAGGCCCCGCCGCGGCCAAGGCTGGGAGCTCAGGGCCGAAGGCGGGAAGCAAGATCCCCACCCCAAAGGGGGGCCTGAGTAAAAGCTCCAGCAGGACCCTCACGAAGCGATGACGTGCCGGGCCTCCGCCTCCGTGATCTCCGTGGGGACCGAGCAAACGTCCCGCGTGAACCTTTCTCCTGGAAGCCGTCCTCGGGTGGGCAGCCGTGCTCCGCCCTGCTGTCCACACCCGGCTCCGTGTGGGGCTGACCAGAGAAGTGGCCCCCGACCTGGGGCCTGACCTCCGTGCTACAAGCTGTCAGGTCTATGACGTCCTCCGCCTGGGCAGCCACCGGGAGGGACGTGCGGCTGGCAGGGAGCCGCCGCCGCTGCGGGAGGCTCACCGGAAGCGGGCGGCGTGGTGGTGCGGTGGCCGTCGGTCCGGCAGCACGTGGAGGGGGTGCCGGACGCAGGCTGCGCTGTGAATCTTCCCGTGTCAGCCCCTCCTGTGGGCGGGGGAGTGGGGGGCGGGGCGGGCACGAGCCTGCGCTCAGACTTCTTCCAGGCATTTTCCTCTGACAAGAAATAAAAGGTTGATAAAACACACAGTGGTTCCCAAGAACGGGTCCCCCGCCGGCACTCTGGCCTGGTTTGGGCCCGGCCCCGCCCCTCTGAGAACCGTGTTGGAATTGGCTCTGTAGGGTCGCCTTTCTCAGACACTCCATACACCACGTAAAGCCACCGCGCGCCTACGACAGTGAAACCATACTTGAATCCAGTCCCCAGCTCCTGGCCCGCCCCGACCCAGGGGTTGGCTCAACTTGCCTCCCCCAGGGGCCCGGGTTGGTCTGAAACCTGCATGACCACACCTGGTGCCTTGCTGTCCAGGCCTGTGCTCCCCAGGCTCCCGGCCCACGAGAGACCAGAGCACGCTGGCCCCTGCGTCCCACCCTGTGGCCAGCGGGCCGCGGGCCGCTTCCTCCTGGGTGTGACGGCGGCCTGTCGGGATGCCAGCCAGAGGCGGGCGGGCGTTGATGAAACCTGTACCATGCAATTAGGGGATAAATATAACTCCCAACCCTGTGAGATGAGAATGTACATAAACTAACGGCTATTTGGGCATTGTACTCCTGGCTGGGTTAGCAACCACGGATTTGCACTGATCAATCGCCATTTTTGGTACATCAGACCCTCTTGTATGGTTGACTAAAAGTACTAAGCAAGGCTGACTAACAGAATTACCACTAAAAAACTTCTAAAGAAATAAGTACAGGAAAAAGTAATGTAAAGCTTTACCGGGTCAAGCGGAGTACAGATGCCAAGGTAATTGCAAAATAACTCATTTGGGCTTCAAAAACATGGCCATTTTCCTATCCTTTTTTGAATTACAGATAAAACACTTTCTAAACAGAACAATAATGAGAAAAGTTAATCAAGAAATTATTCTTTTCTCTCCGATCAAAACTTTTAAGAAATACATGTGTTTTCCATATATTTTAACTTAAAAATATTTGTAAAAATATTGTTTTTAGTGATTGACAAAGTTGGGTGCATTAAAAACAGGTTAGTCTTGCTGGTTACCAAAGAATCATGTATTTATTATTCAGTGACCCGGGGTGGTGACTAGTGGCCGTTGAAAGCTCTGTGCTGTGGAGTTACTGACTGTTAAGGAACCACGGATAAAAGATAAAAATGTAAAGGGAGCTACAAGTGTATTGGCCACTCATAAATTAGTATCTGAACTTGGAATAGTAGTTAATAACTGAATTTTTATTCATGAATATGTTGTGGGTCTTTAACAACATTTATTTCTATTTCATATTTCAGAATATCAATGTAATTTAAAAGAACTGTATCTCTCAATGGGCGTAAGGCTACAAATGTAAATCCTTGTGATGAAAATTTGCAACAGTTTGATATTTTAACATAGTTTTCTATTTGTTTTTATTTCAGGTCAGGTACCAGAGTTACAAAATATCTGAGTAATATATTTTTGTTGCTGTTTAGGACTTAGTTAATTCACCTGGAGCATATTAATGTAATAAAAAGATCAGTAAATATTTGTCACTTTTATTTCGAGGTTATAATTAAAAAGCAATTTGTAGGTCACCTTTCCCTCTGTAAACGCACTGCTGTGGCGGGTGGACCGTGGGGGCTGCTTACCAGGCGCAGCGACCCTAACTCGCCAGGAGAGAGTTGGGTCCTAAAAGAAGTTATTTGTCAAAATAAATTTACTGCTGAAGAAGCTAAAAGATTTCTGTAAAAGAGGGCATTTCTGCCAATGAGGCTGTTTCGCTTTTCAAATAAGGAAAAATGCGGGACCACACTTCTCTGTGGACGTGTAGCATGGTTTTAAACTTTTATCAGCTTTGGCAATTGTTTCTTCTTTTAAGTTACAATGTACAGTTTTTTTCTTCACACAAATGGGTGTTACCTTGAAACTTAGAGCGTCCCGGTTCAAAGCCCGCAACAGTTGCTCCGCACGTTTGTTCCCACCTCTGTCGACGGGGCGGCGGGAGGGGAGCAAGCGCAGCAGAGGGTGCGGAGCCGCGGGCCGCGAGTCGCCGCGGGCAAGGCCGGCCGCGGGTGGTCCCCTAAGGTCGCGAAGGAGCGCGGCACCCCGTCGCTCGCAGCGACGTCACAGCCGTGGCACCGCCGGAGCTCAGCCCTTCCCCGCCGTCTGCGGGCGCCCCACCGCCCTGCACTTGGGAGTGACGACCAATGGCCACATCACTGGCTCTCGCGTTTGCTATGCCCTTTGTCACTTCTTCAGAGCGCCCTCCGGTACTTATTTTTAAAAGGGTCCTAAGAGCAGCGGCCGAGCTATCCGGGCAGCAGTCTCGTCCATGCGCTGCCTCCCGCGACTCTGACGGCCTCGTTCCCTCGCGTGCTGGGTTTGCCCCGCCCCGTCCCTGCACTGCCGGAGCGCAGGACCCGCGAGCAGGTGCAGGGTCCGCCTGCAGCCCGGGCCAGCCCCGGACTGTGGACCCGTGTCCACGGGCACGGCCACGGGAGCCGGGAGTTCGCGCCTGCCCGCGAGCTGGCGTCAGCCCTACACAAGCTGGCCCCACGCGGTCTCACCACGTGGGCGCGCGCAGGCAGTAGCCAGGCCCCAGAAAAACGAATCGCACGCAACAGTAAATTTGGCTTTGCTTTCCAGGAATAGCGTGTCGACGACACCTGCCTGTCTTCGCGGACTTTGCCCGCGGGCACGGGCCCCGAAATCACGAGACTTTGCGTGGCGCAGGTTTAACGCTGCGCCAGCGTAAGGGTACAGAGCCTCCGCGTGGGTGTCGCTTTATCACGGCCTGAGCGTCCCGCACGCCGATGAGCGCAACTCAGCCTTCGTGGCGCGCCGCTCGCCTAAGAGCGGCTCGCGGTTCGCTGTCCGTTCTCCGGCGGACGGACGCCTGGGCGGGACCCGGTGCTGGCCAATACAAAACTCTTCATATTCTTATAATCGCGTGAGCTGCTGGGCTCCTCCCAAAACGCTTGCTCCGGACACTCGGCGAGCGAGACACACAGGACCCGGCCGGAGAACCGGCCCTGGGAGCGGAGGCGCGGCCGGACCCGCGCTGGACCAGGCGGGAGCGCACCGCCCACGCTCCTTCCGGCCCGCGCCGGAAGTGACGCCCCGCGCCCCGGAAGCCCCCGCGGCGACGGCGCAATGGCGGCGGCGGCGGCGGTGTCCGAGGCCTGGCCCGAGCTGGAGCAGGCGGAGCGGCAGCGGCGGCGGGAGTTGCTGCTGACGGGGCCGGCGCTGGAGGAGCGCGTGCGGGCGGCGGGCGGGCGGCTGCCGCCGCGGCTCTTCACGCTGTCGCTGCTGCACTACCTGGAGGTGAGCGGCTGCGGGAGCCTGCGCGAGCCCGGCCCGGGCCTGGCGCAGGGCCTGCCGCAGCTGCAGAGCCTCGTGCTGCGGCGCAACGCGCTGGGGCCCGGCCTGAGTCCCGAGCTCGGCCCTCTGCCCGCGCTGCGCGTGCTCGACCTGTCGGGCAACGCGCTGGAGGCGCTGCCGCCGGGCCAGGGCCTGGGCCCCGCCGAGCCGCCGGGCCTTCCGCAGCTGCAGAGCCTCAACCTCAGCGGCAACCGGCTGCGCGAGCTGCCCGCCGACCTGGCGCGCTGCGCCCCGCGCCTGCAGACGCTCAACCTCACCGGCAACCGCCTGGACGCCTTCCCCGCCGAGCTCTTCCGCCCCGGCGCGCTGCCGCTGCTCAGCGAACTGGCGGCGGCCGACAACTGCCTACGGGAGCTCAGCCCGGACATCGCGCACCTGGCCTCGCTCAAGGTGGGCGGTGCTGGGCGGCGGGCGGGCGGGCGGGCGGGCTCCGGGCCCAGAAGCCGTGCCCCTGCCCCAGCGTCCCCCGCCCGCACTCACCTGGCTGCGGCCTCCCGCCGCCGCGCCCTGTTCACAGCTGGGCTTCAGCGCCTGACACACTGTTGCCGACTGGCCTGCAAGCTCGGCTTCCCTCTCGGGTGGGAGGGGCTGCGGCAGGCCCGCGACTAAATGTTTCTATTTGTGAAATGGTTGAGTGAACCCTGCGGAGGGGCCACCCCGACACGGCCTGAGGATGTGCAGTGACGAGGGCTTGAGTGACGCCGCGCGATCTGGCGTTGTGCGTGGTGTATTTCCCTGGACCCCAACCACAGCCCCGGGTTATTAGTCCTGTTCTACCCAAGGTTGGGGGGGACGGGCGGGGCGGGGGGGGGCGGTCGCAAAGTAATGGAAATAACTCGGGTTTTCCCCCAGACTGCACTGTCGGGGTCTGCTCGTTTGTCCACCTCCGGTCTCCGGGCCCCGGGGGATGCTTGGCTCTCGCGACAGGTGCCCATTAGGTCTGCTGAGCTCAAAAGACCGGGGGCAGCAGTCACAGAGCCAGCACCTAACCCCGGCTGGAGGCGCTTGCCCAGGGTCGTCTCCCCTGCATGGTCTCAACCTTTGAAAGGCAGACCTGCATTCGTTCTTCCTCCTGTTCGTCATACTTTTAATGCAGGTGTTTCTTAAACAATAAAATGTGTATTCAGTTTAGCAGTTGATCTCTTTGCAGGAGAAATTGTTCTTAAGATACTGCCAGCTGGTCCTACAAATGTGTCTGCATCTGAAGACTCTGCGTGTGTGTAGTTACAAGAAGTGGGCCCGCCGCTCCAGGGACATGCGCTCGCTGGCTCTTCCGGGAAGAAGCCATGGGTGCGGCCCCTTTAGGTCCGGACGTGCGGCACTGTCTGCTCCGCCTTCCCCTCTAATAGCTTTTGTTTCCGCACTGGGGTGGCGTGTCAGGCGTGTGGCTCAGTGTTGCATCCGTCCTGCAAGCGCACGGTTGTGCTTCTCGTCAGACCTGCGGGGTCTTTGCTGTGGGACCCTCTGTGGCGCCAGCCCGTTGCTCTGTCATCCTTTCTGTGTCCCCACACCCTTCCTCGTGGCACAGGGACTGTCTGGATTGCCAAGACC